AACTATGCCATCTCTTCGCAGTAAACAGAAACAAACTATTGTAAAAAAATTACAGAGCACAAAAGTGACCATTTCGCAGACCGCAGTGTCAGAAAATAACAGCATTACACGTTTCTGAAAAAATACTTAGAGGCCTCGTTAAAATAAGTAGAGGCCTCGTTGAAATAAATACTACCCGAATCATATTACCCATATACGCCTTCGCCCATTTAGTTCTTCTAAATTGTTCGCCCATTTAGTTCTTCTAAATTGTAAGCAATTAATTGTAAATTTCGACGTGCTAAAACTCTGTTTTCTGACCATCAGAATTCTGTCAAAACTTCCCCCAAAGTCCACGAAATGGCATTTCAATTTTCAGAGACTCTAAATTTAAAAATTTCCTCGGCCCTTCGGCCCTCGCTACCCCCTTATCAAAAAGATCTTCCTACAGAACTGCACGCTTCTGTAATATGTCTGTGCGTAAAATATGAGTATTTTTGTTTGTAAATTGTGTTTTCATTTTCCATGTTTATCGATACCATAGAAAAATTATGGCATTTCTAAATTTCAAATATTTGATGATGTGACTTCAGCTCGTCACTACCAGTTGCAATTCGGAAACACATTTTGCTCGCATCACTAGAAAGCGGTAAAAAAAATTAATTTTTATACGTACATTCAATTTTGCAGCTGCCTCCTATAAATGAAGACAAAGAAATAAATTAGTGGTCACATTTTTTTGAAAGAAATAAACGGGAAGATAAACATGGCACAGACTTCTGTCAATGTTACAGCGTTGCGTGTAAATCCGGGGGTGCACACCCTGAATATAAGTGTGTTGGAGCCGGCAAACGTGACTGTGGCTGGAGTCATGTTGGGTCCCCCTGGTGGACCATATATACTGATTATTGGCTGGTTTTAGGAAGTGTTACAAGAAAGGGCATAAATCTTGCAGTGATTTAAATTTATCAGTTATCACCGCTAGTTCAAAAATCTAAATATTTCCTTAGATCCTAAAAAATAACCTTAAAATATATTAATTAATTAATCTTCGTTAAAATTTCACTTTTATTTAAACGGACAGCACTTTTTTCCATCCAGCAAACCGCCCTGTCGATTTTCTAAAGTCGTTTGTTTTTGGATTTTTTTATTAATTCGGTTAGGGTTAGGGTTAGGGTTAGAGTTAGGGTTAGAGTAGGGGTAGGGTTTGGGTTAGTTACATAGCCATTTAACACCTCTTCCGGCCATCTTCCGAAAATGACGTCAGGTCAGTTTGCTGGATGGAAAATAGTGCTAACCTATTTAAAATTTAAACACGTGTTATGTTTCCACTTTACCACCTCATTTTTCTAATGGCACAGCTGAAATTCATCGCCTTTCTTCACGGAGAATATTTAAAACATTGTTGATAATTGATATCGAACAGTTTTGTCGCAGATTTCATGATATGCTTAAAACATAACTTTATATTAAATTTATAATTAAAATGATATATTTAAGCAAATTAAGTTTTTTCAAATAGCAATAAAATGTAAAAACAATAAAAACTTTTCTTTTCAGGAAAATTCTCACACTTCAAGTGGACAAGGAAAATTCTAGATTAGTTACCAGACTACCCAATATAAGTGCACGTTGGTTCAAAAAATTAAAATTAAAAACATTGGGAAATATAAATTTTCAAATATTTTCCTTATTTTTACCGATACTAGTATTTTACATATTAAACCTTCTATTTGTTGATAACATGCGTTAGTCCACGAAGGTTTACGTGAAATCGAGGATTAAAATCCAACCAAAAGCTGAGTGAAAGACGGGTCAATATTTACGATCGAAATGTCATCCTTTAGTAATGGGGAACCAGCAATCTCATCTACGAGTAGTTATGTTGAAACGTACATGGACTGTAAGTATATATAAGTCTGAAATAAGTGCTAGGATTGTGGGACACGAAGTAGTGTTGATAGATAGGATACTGCGTTGCTCAGATCGCTATGAAGTGTATAAGCCATATAAAATACTGTCCTTTGCTGGTCACAGATATTTTGTCTATTCTCATTGGAAACTTCGATGTTTTTAAGCATTTGAATGTTTCAATTAGCCCAATCAAGCACAATTGGCATATCTGTGAAATGCTCTTAACAAGCATTGAGGTTTCACAAAATGTGCCCTAGTGCCCCCTATTTCCCCCCTCCAATTATGCCAGACGATTTTAATATTTTCAGATGTTGAAGCGCTACCTGACGATCTACAAAGAGATATCTCACAAATGCGAGAGCTGGATATGATGTACCAAGGTATATGGTTTTCCGTAGATCTATGGGTTTTTCAAGCCGAACTGTATACATATTTTAGACCTTACCTGGAATAGATGCAAAAAATGTAACTATAGGCCCTCTGCAGGAATTGAACTTACAATTTCAAGACTTTCTCCAGAAGTTTGTGTATATATACTAGGGGATGCCACCGAATGGTCACAGGTTCGATTCCCACCGTGGTCAGGCAAACTTTTCAGCTTGCCCACCCGTGTGGATGCACACTCAGCGTAACATCATATTCACCCGAGTACATAACACCAACACACACAAAAAATTTTAGGCATCATGTTCCCTAGAAGAAAACGTTAATGGCATGTGCATGGTATAAATACTATATTAGAATAGTTTGTGTAACATACTGTTACAATATGTTAAAAAATTTCAGAGAAACTGAGAGAAATTGGTCGTTGGATGGACACGTATCACCAGAGAAAAGAATCGTCTGTTAGAAAACGATGTATGATCAATATTCAAAGATGTTTGGTGAAAGGTCAAGAATTGGGGGACGAAAAATTACAACATGTCTCACATATGATGGATATGGTATAGAATTCATATTGCAATAAAATATTACAAACTTATGGCAAGTCTAGGGGTGTGTGGGGGGTTGCAATGTCCACCTTCCCCTAGATTAGGATTGATTGGTGGTTATCAAAATTTCCAACTTTTGATGGTAGTGGTGAATGAAGCATGTACAAAAATATGACCAGCAAACGAAGCCAAAATGTGGCCCACTTTATTGCCAAGTCCATCATTTTTTTATGCATCAAGAGGAAAGTGCTGGCAACCCTGAATTACACCCGCAATGTTTAAGATGTGTTTACCACTGTTTACTATCAACAGACAAAAACATTGTGTGTACAAAATTGTTAAATATTGCAGGTGGATACAAAAAGTCGTCAGGTTGAGATTGAAATGGAGTCGGCTGAACTAAGAAGTGATCAAGCACCAACTATACCACTGAAACAAGAAACACAAGGTAGAAGGACTACATTGTCACATATGTACCGGTACCTACCTAATGCTATAGGATCTTACTGTTAAGGGGAAATGTGTTGGGCTTAATTTGAATTCATATAACACTTTAGATGATCAAGATACAACTCAAAAAGCTGGTGAAAAAATAAAAACTACAAGTATGTATTTCCTACACGTTTAGGAATGAAGCTATTTAAAGCATGTCTAAGTATTACTTACCGGTACCAGAGTATGTTTGTTCTGCGCATCAGTTCTGCTCATAACAAAGGGGGACTTCCCCCCCAGATATAAACATTGCCCAAATTTTGCATCTTTCAAACTTTTTTGAAATGTAGAGTTTATATTCATTTACAAGCATAGCGAATCGGAAAAGTATTAGATACCGTATTTAGTTAGTATATCATATTTTACAAGTATAGCAGTTCAAAACGTAAACATGATGAGTGGACCTCATCTTTAACCTGTATCACCTGAATTCTTGCTTCTCAACAGGAAATCGTCGTAGACTTCATGAAAAAGTTAAGCAAGAACAGGATGTGGAAAATCCAGAGAAAATCTCAAATTCTGCTGAGAATCCAAAACCACCCAAAAAAAAGAAATTCAATCGAAAGTGAGTCAGAAGTTCGTACAATATTGCGTTTTGTATTTTCTCCAGATAATCCTGGTTCCTCCTGTAGTAACACTGCCTTACTTTTGTGTATTCTGCAGAAAGAAGAAAGAAAATAGTTCTCCAACGCCCGATATTCCAATTGATCCAAATGAACCAACTTACTGTCTATGTAATCAGGTAACTTTAAAATATCGAATCAAAACATATTTAGATCATGAAGCATGTGACATCTTTGTTTCTCTGGACAGGTTTCTTTTGGTGAAATGATAGGCTGCGATAATGAGGGGGTAAGTTTCTCTGATATTTAGTACCAACAGTTGCTGTGTCAACATTTCTTGCCATCAAGGCTAATTACATACATGCACAATGAATGGCTCCTGCCTCTTAAATACTAATACATGTACTTTGCTGTTAACTGTTCAATTATTATATATTTTTAGTGTGCAATTGAGTGGTTCCATTTCCAATGTGTTAATTTAACTTCGAAACCCAAAGGAAAATGGTAATTAATGCTAAATGTTAAACATAAAATACTTATTTGAGAAACTATAGCTTCATGTGTTTTTCTAATATCCTCTCCAGGTACTGTCCAAAATGCAGTCAAGAAAGACAGCGAAAAAAGACGGACAAAAATGACAAGACTGATAAATCTGAAAAATAGCATATTTTGTGTAAATTTATATATACTGTTGTGTGTTACGCCTGTTGAATGCAGTTTGCATGAATGTATATAGGGCATCTTAGCTTAAACAATTGTGGAAATGTTAGTGAATAGTCATAAGTGAATTGTACTCTTGCATGTATATTATAAATAAGAGGCTTTAGTTTTCTTATTTCATATCATATAACATCTAAATTAAAAATTCTATTCATAATTATTTCTTATCAAACTAAAAAGCCATGATCCGGCTTACTGGACCTCTAGGACTAGGGAAAACAGTTTAGGAATGATGGAGCTTTCCAGCACAAATGCAGGTAGTTTAGTTCTGACAGTGCCACAAGCTACTACCCTCCCCAGTCTTTATAAGCTAAGCTAAATAGCTCAGACCATAAAGCATAAGCCATAAGTTCAACTTAGTTCATACACAAGTTGTTAGAGCAACAAAAAATTAAAATACAAATATCCAATATATATATTTAGTGTTAAAATTCATCATCTATACAATATGTACAAATCTATTACTTTCCCTAGGGCTGTTATATCTATGAAAAAAGGACATTTAGCAAATTTTAATGGTCTCTGCTTGTGACATGTTTTTGAATGGAATACTGCATATTATATTAATGGATATATAACCATTCCCTTCTTAAGCCTCGTTTACACTATCAAAGTTTCTGTGATCACAGTAGGAATTTTGCATGGGCAAATTCTAAGTTTTGGACTGATTTGTAAGAAATGTTTGCGGCAACCGACTCAGTGTTAAATTAAACACCGAGTCAGTTCCTTCAAACACTACAAATCCTTCAAAATACTACTTAACAATTAGACAACGAGGCCGAGTTGTCTATGAGCGAATAGTCAACGAGGCGAAGCCGAGTTGACTATTTGCTCATAGACAACGAGGCCGAGTTGTCTAATTGTTTTAGTATAAACTTTAACATTAATTTACAAATAGGCTGCAAACACAATACAAAAATACACAAAAAAAATATAAAACCATTAAAGGTAAACAAATATTTTAGTTTTTGTTCGCGTGAAATGTTTTACAAAATGTCAAAATTCAGTTTTAATTTTAAAATTTCATTGAGTGTATGTTATTTTGTCTATTTTCTTACCCATAAAAATTGCCATTCCATATTTTTGTTGCTTTTTTCGGGGGGTTTTAGTACAGAATTGTTCAACAAGTCGTCCAAAAAATCATCAGACACTTCGGCAAAAGTGCAAAACACGAATTTTCCGCCATTTTGAATTTTCTATTAGTAGGCTATCACTATAAATAGCCTACTAGTAGCGTAGCCAATCAGAAGGCACGATATGTGATAGCCTGCTAGTAGGTTTATACTAAAATACAATATACTTACATATGCAAAATTCCTACGTGATCACAGAAGCTTTGAGCTAAAGTGTGAACCAGACTATAGCTTAGTAATTCCTAAACAAGCTTCTGCCTAGCTACTATATTAATGCAATAATGGATATATAATTTAGTTGGACATTAATTTGAGTTGAGAAATACGATGTAGAATTTCTATGATTTGTAGAATATTTGACGCGGCCGTGTTATACACGTAAAAATGGACAAGTTCACAAGCTGACGGCAAGTTGTGTTCGCACTGCTTGTTCCCAGTTGTTGTAACAAGTTTGGAACAAGCAGTTAACAACTTGTAACAATTAAGCTTGATGGCATTATCAAACTTGTTACAAGGTTGTTCTAACAATAAGCAATTATTGGATGAGGCTGAGCATGATATCAAGAATTATTCAGACCGAGGTCAATGTTATCTGCCGAAGCGAAGCTGAGGCGGATAACATAGACCGAGGTCTGAATAATTCTTGATATCATGCGAAAGCAGAATCCAATAATTGTTTTATTATACATTTAAAGACATGAGAAACGTATAGGACGATTCCTGTTCATGAGGTAGGAAAAGTGCAATTTGAATATCAAACACCTTGCACAAAGTCAAAGGTCAGCTAAATATTATATTTCTACTTCTATTTACCCCTTTGCGGCTTTTTTCGTGCTTTCACTATCCTTATCTGCCAATAATTTGGAGAGTTCACTTTCATTCAGCGAAGCAAATCTCCTGTCGGCCATTGTTTGTTTTTTTCCCGCGCTTATACTTATAGGTTCAAGCTTTTGGCCGCGCAAGGGTTTGGGCACGAGAGAGTCCAATAATATTTTTTTTTGGATGCAAGTTCGATCCAAAAAAACAATTATTGGACGTTGATGACGTCATCGGCGGAAAATACGTAATAAATGCCGAATACTGAAAATTAGCCGGTGCTTTCTGACCAATTTGAAACGAGAATACATATTAAATGTATAATAAGTCTGATTACTCTGATACGGTCATGATATAGCAAGAATGTTATAAGGTTGACGACACAAGGTTGTAACAATATTGTTCTATCATGACTGTATCTGACTTGTTGGAACAACCTTGCAACAAGTCTGATAATATCAACAAGGTTGTTACAAGTTGTTAACAGCTTGTTCCAAACTTGTTGACAACTTGGGACAAGCAGTGCGAACACAACTTGTTGGCAGACTTGCTACAAGATGCGAGATTTTTGCGTGTGTAGGTCGTTTGGTTTTAGTGGCCATATTTCAATCACAGTCCGGACCTATATGCTGTCGAATGTTTTTGAACCAAACGTCCTTGTCTTCTGGAGAATTTGCGGAGAATACAAAGTAGACCTTTGGAAATACAATCCTAAATAAAATGGAGTAAAGAACAGTATTAAACTAACTTTGTTTATACTGGATAGCTCTAATATTACGGTCTGGTATACTTCTTTGTTTTCAACCACGTATACGTAAGCGGAACTCTTGCTATCTGCGTACTTACTGTTGACCTTATGACTTTTCCAAGCTGAGGGTACTCAAAACAATTCAAAACCGTAATTAGGTTGGTATATGATTGTGTAAGTATGACATGCCTGGGCATGAAACATGATTGGATTGATGGGACTAAAAAGTTGGAATCGATTGTAGTTTTGTATATGCAATTGTGCTCCTTGTTCCAACCACAACCAGCCCAACAGCTAAGCGTGTTTAAATATTTGACTAAAATATTCTAACTTTTAATAAAACTGTTTACTAGTAATATGGCGAAAATGTGTTGATAACAGTGCAGTTGTGGTTGTGTGCTACGGGCGACGTCACTGCAAATTGATTAAGTTTAATAGTATGCAGTGAGTGACGTCACTCATAGCACACAACCTCTGGCACACAACCAGAACTGCATGGTTATCTAAATATTTTCGCCATATTAAACACTTTTATTAAATTTAAAAACGGTAGAAGCGCAGAGCTTTAAAAATAAGCCGGCGGCCGCCGGAGCTCCGGCAGGTGCTACGAGGACCAGGTTCACCGCCGGTTACTTTGTTTAGGACTTGAAATATCAATTCTGCTCTCCTTCCTCCACTCGAAGCTTTCAAACAAAGTTATTTTTCCTCAACCTCGTCTACTTTATAGCCTGGTTATTTTCGAAAACGACGTACTATTTCGTTATAAACCGATTTAGTTATTTGTCATCTTAAATCTGAAGTTATGTTGTTGAAGAATGAAAGTAGTGATACATTATAATTTGGTTCCACAGCTCAGTTGTGTTGCTATCTAATCAATATACACTATAGTTCATTTGGATGACTTTAAGACCCCCTAGACGCCCCCCCCCCCCTCCCAACAGCCGCCTAATTTATCAAAACAGACACCTACTCAGAATAATTCTGAAAGCCCTGGAAGCGTAACCAGAATTATTCATATCAATAGTCTTTTAGTCAAATATTTAACACGTCTATAGCTATTGGGCTGCCTATGTTCTAATCGTAGTTTCAAGGTTGCTGAATGAAACCTTTCAGAAACCTGTACTAAGGTCTAAGTAGACCTTGTTTGGCATCAGTTCAAGTACGCGGAGATAACCATTGGAGTTAAATAATAATTAAATAATAACCTGAAACAATTTTTCTTTTCTGCTTCATCGAAATCGTCCTTGATCTCCAATGCTGTACTTAAGTCTAACTCGTTCAGTGGTCTACGTTCCTGGGAATAAAAAACGCATTTGAGCCTAAAACCCGGATGAAATGAGAACGAGAGTGCGTGAGAGTTGGCATCACGCGACTTTGGTTATACAATTACTTTATGGTTTCCGTGTTTGGATGGCCTGATCCAAACACGCGGGAATGTTGCGAGAGTTTTAAGAAAAGCGCGCGAAACACGAGCCGAAGGCTAGTGATTTTGCCCGCTTTTCTTAACTCGAGTAACATTCTCAAGTGTTTGGATCATGCTATCCAAACACGGAAACCATAAAGTGATTGTTTTATAAAATAACAACAACACGAAATAGTCTACTGAATTTCCGTGTTTGGATGGCCTGATCCAAACACGGGTTTCGACCAATCAGAGCACGCGATATATACATGTTATTTTATAACAGCTGTTCTTAATGCTTTCCCAACACTACATTGTATTGAAGTTAAAACATAGTTGGAACACTCATCAAACTTTTATTTTGTTAATCTAGAGCTTGAAATGCCCCCTGTAACAATGTGACTGACAACTCTCATCCAAGCGAGGGTTTAGGCTATTTTATAAAGAGTTCATATTTATTTAGTTTCTTTTTTCCACTCCCGTATAACAAGTATGTGACGTTACTAAATAATACATGACTTGGAGAATAATTGAATTTTCAAAACAATGAAATGACAACGAAACTGATTCGGATCACTGGATCCTGATTGGATGGCACTAAGTACAACACAGCCATTAACACTCACATGTCCATTCTTTTTATATGATAAACGGTTCTCTTTAAGGATACACCAACGACGTTTCCATGTCTAAATAAAAAGTAAAATGATTATAGTTTAAAATTTATTTGTGTTTTTAGATTTAAGAAATCTTATACACACGTAAAAATCTGACAACTTGTCAACAAGATGTGTTCGCAACAGGCTTGTAGCAAGCTTGTCAACAAGTTGCAACAAGGTTGTCACTCACAACTTGCTGACTTGCTGACAGATTGTTGAATTGCAGGACGATATCAAGTTGTTGGAATAACTTGTAACAAGTATGTTGAGATGTATCAACAAGTCGTTGACAACAAGCTGGGAACAAGCAGTGCGAACACATCCTGTTGATAAGTTGTTGCATGGACAACATTGTTACAAGTCTGCTGCAGGTTTGTTACAACTTGTGCGTATCTGTGTGTGTAGGCGAGTATGTAGTCAAGCAAAGCTAGATTACTCCATTCGCAGGCTACGCTGAAAGCATAAGTAATATTTTCCGGTACCTTGCCCTCTTTCTTTTTAAACAACTGTCCTTCCATGGAGGTGATCTAAAATAGACGTGTATTTAACAAGCTTATTAATGTCAGTCATGTTGTGGCAATCTCTACAGCGTTAAAACACTCATTAATAATTCATAAACCTTGTGGCATTGATAAATCTCATGTCAGCCATAATATGTCACGTGGAGTGACTTTGTATCTGATAAATCACATGCATGCATGCATTATATAATTGTTCATCCTATAATTAGTATTTTTTTTGCAGTCGTATTTTAAGCAATTTAAAACATTCGCAGTGCGTGTTTTGTCAGACCTACAGATACTCGGTTTCGCCTCATATCTTTATATCTAATAAAACACTGCTGTTCATCAGTACTTTTTCAAGTACTTGACGTATTTTATTTCTATTTAATGACTTACAATTGTGCTTGCACGTCTTGCATCACTTGCATCAATAGTATTACTACTGCGTTTTCTTCCCAATGTTCGCTTCTTCGGTGTCTGTGATATTATTTGATCCTGATCAGGTATATAGTGTCTTCTTGCAGTACTGTATAGGGAGAATTCCGTATTACACTCGTTCAGGTATGGATATAACAAATGCACTTTGATACCTACAAAATACAACATTTCAGAAATATAGAACTTTTCAATTATAATGGCCCTTCGCAAAACGTTTAACATAACATTCAGCATAACAGTAGTAGTTGCTCAGAATGTTCAATTGTCTTAGAAGATTTGAAGTGAAATTGTATGTATGGTACAGGCGTACAGCATGGTATGGTATGTTGTCATGGTGTGGTGTGACACGACACGATATAATGTGGTATGGCATAGTTTGGCAAGGCATTGTATGGTTTTGGTAAAGTACTGATGTTAATATGATATGGTATTAATATTGCATGGTATGGAATAGTGGGGAATAGTATGGTATAGTACGGTAAGGTATTGTATGGTAAGATATGTTATAATATAATACATATGGTATCGTATGGTAAGGCATTATATGATATGGTTGTAGTGTGATGTGGTATAGCATATTGTATGACGTGTGTGGTGTGGTATGGTATGGTAAAGTATGGTATATATGGTATGGTATATGATATGGTAAGAAATGGTATGGTATTATATTGTATGTTATAATGGTCCGTACGGTATGATGCAATATTTTATTGTGTGGTAAAGCATAGTGTGGTTATGGTATGGTATGGAATTGTCATGAAGTGGTGCACTATGCGATGTCACGACATGGAATGGTATGGTATGGTCTGTTATTTTATATTATGTTATGGCTGTTATGGTAAATACAAGAGGCATACCTTCTTCACACTCAAGTACAGGTCGTTCTTGAAGATGTCCCCAAATCTGAAACGGACTCCAGAACAAAGCTTGACCAAAACCATAGCGTTCACCATCAAAGTCGATCCGAAAATGCTTGACGTCACTGGCTTCTCTGATCGACACACTGTAATTGCCGGTCTCAGTATTGCTGGACCTTATCAAATAAGTCCCTGCTGCAGTGTGTTCGAGAAGTTTTGTCGCTTTCTCTCTTGTAGTCGCCGCGTGGAAACATCTGTTTGAAAAAGCATCAAATAGATATTTCAAACTAAATAATAAAAACTCCCACTAACGAATACAACGTTCCGGAAAGTACCTTGGTGATAGAGTGGACTTCAATGATTTGGATTCTTGCACTTCACTTAGTGGAATTAATATTAGAATGTTAGGGTTTGTAATCCAAGTGAGTATATATACATTTTTTTAAGACCTAACCAGGAACGACTGCGAAAAATGCAGCACAAGCTCCTCTGGTAGGAATTGAACCTACGGCCCTGCGATTCCGGTGCAGTGCTCTAACCAACTGAGCTACAGAGGCCAGCTGTTGAGCTGTAACCGTAAGTTCATGTATATATAGGTAATCAGTCGGGTGTGCGGGTTGTGATAAGGTGGACTTCAATGATTTGGATTCTTGCACTTCACTTGGTGGAATTAATATTAGAATGTTAGGGTTTGTAATCCAAGTGAGTATATATAGAGCTGCCTCCTCGCAGGCCCTTCGTTGGGCACAGTGCAGTGCAATTGCAATCTATATAGATCAGTGGCTGTGATATCAAAGACTTTTTCCCCTTTTCCTCTCCCCCCTTTGAAAGCGACTGGGGACGAGGCAGTATATAGAGCCTCGTTTTTGAAATTGAGACGTAATAACTGAACAGATAACGGTAAAATCTTATCTCTTTGTTAAATGACATACTTTGCGAAAGGGTGTGTATGCAAAGAACTAAGCCGCCATCTAGTTAAGTGACTATCTAAAACCATCAGTGTATACAGGCCATTATTATCTCATTATCGCATGGAAAGCGTGCAAACAGCTTTGCATGATTAAATTTCTCGATTCATATGAATTGCATTTGGTAAAGCGTAACGTTTACAGGGTTAGTATAATTGAAATGAACATCAGAAAATAACGGCGACGAAACAGTACCGTAAGTTGTTTTCATTGCTTTGCATCTACCGGAGGGAATCGACACGTATGATATACTCAGTCTTGATAATGAACTTATTTCAATTGAATTCAGGGTTCGTACATGTGACTAAGATTTAAATTCAAGAATTTTTAAGGTCATTCAAGGCCATGTATCAGCAAATTCAAGCACTAAATACTGAAGAGAAGACATTAGAAATAAGTAAAATATGACGTTGAATTGTTCAAAACGCAACTTTGTCAGATATCTAATCAACATGCAAAATCAATTCAACAAAAACCAAAATTTTCGTATTCAATGTCAAACAATTTCAGAAAATATCCATAAACTACAGCAAGAAGAATTTAAGGACTTTCAAGTACTTCTTTACAAATTCAAGGGCTTGAATTTTTGTTTTCAAATTCAAGGACATTCAAGGACTTTCAATTAAGTTTGGTACGAACCCTGATTGAAAAGTCACGATTTATTTAATGTCACGAGGATCGCTATCAAGACAATGGGATTCCTAATATTTTAGGGAAAAAATGAATTAATGAATAGTTATATATTCGCATGGACGTTTTAGAGGTCGTTCTTGCTTTGTCTACAAGGCAAAACATAGACATTCTACACTGATCCAACCCACGCGTCCACGAGAATTCATTCTTAATTCAGTAGAATTCAGTATTAAATTATATAGAATTCAGTATTGACTATTGTATAGAATTCAATCATAAAGGCTGCATACATGCATGCATGTCTAATAAGCTTCTTAAAGCTGTGTTAATAAAGTTAATCTCTTCGTTACCACAATTTATATTTGTGTTTTAAGCCCGGATCAAACTAGAATGAGAGTGAATCTGTTCTTAATGCTTTCTCAAGTGTATCATGTCTGTTATTAAAGTTAAAACCCTCTTCAAATCTTTATTTTGCTAATCTAGAGCAAGAAATATCCCCAGTAACAAATCCATGACTGTCAGACTCTCATCAACTATCGCTTGATTGGGGCTTAAGAGCGTTTTAATTAAATTAAGTCGACGAGAGTTCAATTCCGTGATTTGATTGCTCTTGTATAGACACTTGTAAATAGTTGTGACACTCAAAACTATTTATGTGCAGAAAATACGTGGCAAACATAGAACGTTAAGACATTTTTTGGACCCAGTCTGAATTAACACTCTGTTCGACAACGACGAACCAAAACACCTTCAAATAAACGATTGTATATAAAGAAAACTTAAGACTGGTTTATGATCAGGTAGTTCTCGTTGGTCTGAGGGATGCAACTACCGGAAAAATATAAGGAGAAATTCTCCCAGTTATATTCTTCAGGTAGTTGCATTCCTATCAACGAAAGCTTGTTCATATTATTGACACTGCCTACACTGACAAACAGTTCACGATTATAAGGCTGGTTCGGTACTATCAAAGTTTCAGTGATCACAGTAGGAATTTTGTATGGGTACAAGGTTTTGAATGATTTGTATAAGAAATGTTTGAGGGAATAGACCATTTGCATTATAGACTAAATTTTGATCTAGACAAAAATTTCATCACAGCTTGAAAGAGCATCACAAAATTAGTAATATTCCAAAGTTTCGTTGCGAAATGTTGTAAAATGCGGATAATATAGCCTTGCGAAGTTTGCCGTTTTTTAGTCATTTTTGTATTACGCACGGGAAATTGACAGCCCAATCGGGTGTTGGGCATCAATTTCCCGTTTGTAATACAAAATGACTGAAAATTGCAAATTTCGCAAGGCTATATTATCCGCATTTTACAACATTTCGCAACGAAACTTTGGAATATTACTAATTTTGTGAAGCTCTTTCAAGCTGTGATGAAATATTTGTCTAGATCAAAATTTAGTCTATAATGCAAATGGTCCATTGGCTCAGTGTTAAACACTTTAATCACGGAAACTTCGACAGTACAAATGAGGCTTTATATTATCGTTTATTTAACTGAATACTCACGGAAGCTGCTCCATTTGACAATTCGCATACTCGGCATCATCTGGAGATCTTTCATCCGATCCAAGGCTTGTCATGGAAGGCCGTTTTCGCTCGGCGTTCCATGAGGGGAATACAGGAAGCTCGTCGGAATCTTCGGATGAACTGATCGGTTCCATAGCTGTAAAACTAACGAAAAATACAAGACTGTGTTGAAACAATCACAAACAAGGTTCGTCTGAATTTCGCTTTGCCTTTGGTTTTATTCAAATTTTATTACGTATTGTATTATAATTAAATTGGGGCTTTTTGAAATACCATGTTTACGTAATTGCTTTGCATGATTGCACAGGGCTGAAGCCCAAACAATAAAAGCTCACGTTTAATGAAGTTCTTCTCAATAATAGACGCAATCTTAAAACCCTTGAAAACCATTATAACGCAAATTAAACATGGTCAATTTCAGAAATGCACTTAATTATGGCCGCGGATGAAACGAGCGTGCATTGAGCCAGAGGAGACCTTGGTTAGCTGTTTTTAATGCATTCCTAACAGTCCTAACACTATCATATATTCTATTTAAGACTAAAACATCATGGTTGGAACACTCCCTAATTGTTAACCTATGGTGTAGAGGTTTTACACTAGAAGCAGGCAAATTAATCTAAAGCAGGTAAATTAATCAAATAGACCTGGTGTTTCGTGTGCTTACGGTAAAACCCACCTATACTGAGCAATTTTAATCTTTAATTTGAAAATGATTTCTATATTTGACAACTTTCCGTGTATAGCCGTTATGCCCCCGCGTTCACTGACAAGTCAAGGAAGTAACTTGCAATTTATATGTCAAGGAAGTAACTTGCAATTTATATGTATATATATGTTGTTGTTGGCAACATAAACGTCAAAAATAACAAAAGCAAGCCAAAGCGGTTTCTTCGCACGCTGAATATGGTGGCTTGATGTTTTATGAACTGAGACACAAGTTACAAGTGACTTTTTTAAAACAACAAGAAAATTCCTCATACGCACGTGCAAGAAAATTCCTCATACGCACGCCCACGTAGTGAAAAGAGAAACTACAGAAACAATATATAATTGATTTTCAGTTTAAAGTATTTCGCATACTATATAGTCATTTACAGAACGAATGATGCCAAATGTTTCCTTTATACATACAGGCACTTTCATTTGTTTAAACTATTAATCTGCGGGTATTTTCATTAGAAAAAATTACTATAAAACCCGAATCAAACGAGGAGAGTGCATGAGGCAGTCACGTGATCTTGGTTAGCTGTTCTTAATGCTTTCTCAACACTATCATGTATTCTGTTTAAGTTGAAACATAGTTGGAACACTCATCAAAACTTTATTTTGTTAATCTAGAGTTTGAAATGTGACCAATTCGTGACTGCTAACTCACATTCTCGTTTCATCCTTTCTCTTAACCATAATTCCTGTGCAATTAAAAGCAGAATTGACATTTGCGTAATAGACTAAATTTTGATCTCAACAAAAATTTATCACAGCTTGAAAGAGCATCACAAAATTAGTAATATTCCAAAGTTTCGTTGCGAGATGTTGTAAAATGCGGAAAATATAGCCTTGCGAAGTTTGCAATTTTCAGTCATTTTAGATTACAAACGGGAAATTGACAGCCCCAAACCCTTCGAGGCTGTCAATTTCCCGTTTGTAATCTAAAATGACTGAAAATTGCAAACTTCGCAAGGCTATATTTTCCGCATTTTATAACATTTCGCAACGAAACTTTGGAATATTACTAATTTTGTGATGCTCTTTCAAGCTGTGATGAAATTTTTGTCTAGACTAGTTTAGATCTAAATTTAGTCTGTTACGCAAATGGTCAATTGGGCGCCACTACACAGGTTGCATAAAAATGGATCAGAAAAGTTCCTATATTTTCGCAATTAAAAATTGGGCGTAATAGTTTCCTCTCAGCGCTCACGTAATATGCAATTAACGGGCTGATTAGATGATCTTGTGCCAACATGATTAAAATCCCATCATTTACATTACGCTCAAAATCTGGCACGGCACGCATAAAAATGGTATAATTTTCGTTTCGTTATCTCCTTCGTCGTGAACAGTTGTGTCATGTTATTGCGATATAGCGGCCGTTTCGACTGCAATATACTTATCATCCAATTAATACGAAATCAATTCGTGATATCAAGTTCCGGTAATTTCGATTGACTTATCATCCAGTCAATATGAGATCATCTAGTGACGTCATCTTCCAGGTTGAACTAGATTGTATCTCTTTACTGTAGCGTCATCTGACGATGTGACAACCACGCTGCTGTCTCTGAAATAAAAACAAAATTAACACTGATGACCGGGCCAATAAGGGATTGCTGCTACGAAAATCTAGAAAAAGCAATAGGCAATTCCAGCCTTTAATTTATGCGTGCATGAGTTGACTGGAAGTAAGGTATCATATTGCTGATTTTGCTGGAAAATGTTAATAAAAACTGCCGAAACAACCGAAATATTTCAATATTTACAAGTATAAGCTATCATTCCGTGTTTACACGGCCGCCATTGTTATTTTTTCAGCATAATCAGCAATATGATACCTTACTTCCCATCGTTCCCTGCACGCATAAACTAAAAGCTGGAATTGCCTATTTAAGACTAATTTCGTTGTAATCATTGACATCACAAATTTCCGAATAGGTCACGTCCACCGGCGTCAGCTGTCTCCAATCCTTAACTACAGAATAGCGCCCACACAGAAGACCAAACCACTGCGCTTACGAGAGGCATTCGCCCCCTGAAAATATTCAAAATGATGGATATTCGAGGGGGCGAATGCCTCTTATAAGCGCACTGGCTGGGAACATGACAAGTGCATTTTGATGACGAATCATTGCGACGCTTTTTTGGCTGAGTCGCTCTTCTGCAAGGTGTCTATTCTGTGCCTTAACTATCCACGGTAGAACAGTCTAGAACTGACTGCGTTATCCCGTATAAATAAAGTGAGTTTCCGTTGTTAACCGTATACCTGCTAACCGCCATGTCCAGTATAGGTGCCGTATGGCCATGCCATTCTCGTTCACAACTCCCTGACCGCGCGTCCCACAATCGTAAAATACCATCTAAACACGCTGTGTATACAAGAGAGTCTTCCCAATGAAGTTGAGTTACTCCTGCCTAGAATAAACGTTAGGAAACATAACGAATCCTTGAATGTTTGCATGGCGAAAAACAATAGTATCCTTTTGCATTGTGGAAAACACCCACACTGCGTTCATTTATTATTGCAAAGAATAAGGAACAAAGACAATTTCAAGTCATAATATTTTTCCTAGTCGCTTAGAGACAGGTTGAAGTGTACACTAGCTACAAAGAACCAGGCAAAGACGAATTCTAAGCGTGATAAATGCAAACACCATTTTTTTAAACTTTATCTCTATCACATAGATATCGAAGGAACTATTAGATATCGAACACATGTTACGTAGATATCGAAGAAACTAGACTCAGTTCCGAAATATCACATACTCGAACCGACCTGACCGCGTAGCGCAGTTGGCAGAGCATTGGGCTTGTTTTCCAAAGGTCGTAGGTTCGATTCCCACCGTGGCCAAGCATATTTTTCAAGCCTGCCAGGTGTAGATATACACTCAGAGTAACATCACAAGCATTTTATCTCTATCCTTTATGAAAATGGGTCTTGACCTTCAACACTAAAACTTTGAAAACAAGTCCATACCGGATGTTGGCATTGATGACGTAATCTCTGTGACGTCACATCCCAGATTCCAAGATTTCCAGACAATGAAGCAGTTGCAACTATGGGTTGCCTTAAAAGAATATCACGTGGTTAGCACGTGGTAAAAAATGTAATCTGTGGGAAACCAAGTCTTAGAATCTTACTTTGAACAAAATCTAACAGCCTCAATAGAGACATCGCCGTCTTCCTTACTTAACGCAGCTTCCATACTTCCGAGTACCTATGATATTAAAGCAGAAATATCTTGGTCCGAACTTAGATAATCAAATTCACGATCCCAATGGCTAAATGCAGTTGTTTCTACCTTGCCATTTCCAATGTGAGTTAGTTTCAATACACCTTCTTCTGATCCACTGGCAAGCACTGTGCTATCTTCGTTGATGTCTAAACATGTGACAGATTGATCGTGTGCATATCCACCTATAATATAGAGAAATAAACTAATTTTATTTATACTGGATAAGGCTCTATCAGTATCAGTTCTAAACTGTTCTCCCTAGAGGTCCAGTAAGTATACCATCGCTTATTGATCCAGTGTTACTACAGAAAAAAATCTAAACTACACTTTATTTATACTGGATAGTTCTATCAGTTCTGCACTGTTCTCCCTAGAGGTCCAGTAAGTATCATCCCTTATTGATCCAGAGTTACTGCAGGAGGAAATCTAAACTACACTAACTTTATTTATACTGTGGCAGCAACATCACAATGTAACGCATTATAACCAATAAATTTTGAGATCTTATTGAAAGTTGGCAAATCCTGCCTACCTGTGACATGAAAGTCATGGTTGCCAGCCTTCAAATCCCATAACTTTAAACTTCCGTCCCCATAACCAACACAAATGCGTTTACCTTAAAAAGGAAACAAGCCCTATCCATAATACATGACAAATTGTAATGGATTGGAAATGTCAGCCAGTCACAATCCAGTGATCGAAATGTTCCATTGTCTTTTCATTGTTTTGAAACATTGGAGAGCGTAGCCTGCTTGCAGCCCGAAATTTTGTTCAAAGGAAAAGCTGAATATTTTCCGCTTCAAATTTTTGGGTAGGGTCTGCTGAGCAGGCTATGGAGAACGTAGGGTCATCTATAACAACAGTCTTAAACGTACCGTCCTTTAAGAGACGTGAACATGTTGTTTTTGGTCCATGACTTTGGTAAGTTTTACACGCGCCATCCGGGATCTTCCACATCCAAAATTCTCCGTCTGCTGTACCGGCAAACAAGACATGCGCACTATGGTGCCATTCCAACCACTATCATTGGTAGAAAATGTTTGTAAAATTTACTTCACTAAAGATATATTTGAACTTATTAAGGAGTGAGCCATGATGCACCCTCTTATTATTTACATACAGTAGCTTCATCATGTAATGAAGGGCTTCTGTCTTATGCCAAATGATTTCTGATTTATCAAATCAAGGGGAATATCATTTTGTTTTTGCAAGATGTCAGCTTACAACAGTAAGGATGCAAGTCTGACTGAATTGGTAAATATTTTAGAGAAATAAAGTCCATACTTCTATATCTGAAGTTTCAAAAGACCAAACTTCATCACCACTGTCTAGCAACCACACTTTGATCAGCCCGCTCATGTCAGCCGTAGCAACATATTTTGAATCATAACTGAACTCAGCATAAGTAACAGAATCTTTATGCCCTTTAAATGATTAAACATTGATTCAATTATTAAAGTGCCTATGACATGAAATTTCACCCCAAATGTTTATGGTTGCATTGTAAAGATCACTTAAAATGACTTAATAATTTCTTTTATAGAATTTTGGTAACTTGCTTCCTTTGCAAGATATTCAACTTTGTTTCATATGCAAATATCACCGGTGTGACATCACATCGCATAATGACATTTTGAAAACGCAATATTTTACCTTGATAAAATATTTTTACAAACAAATAAAAAGGGTTAATTACCAGTTATGACATTAATACATATACAAGGGCAATTTTTAAGTTTTTTAGATACGTATTTGTGAAGAAAACAATACTTTTCTGAAAACTCATTATGTGATGTGATGTCACACCAGTGATATTTGCATATGAAACAATGTTGAATATCTTGAAAAGGGAGCAAGTTACCAAAATTCTATAAAAGAAATTATTAAGTCATTTTAAGTGATCTTTACAATGCAACCATAAACCTTTGGGGTGAAATTTTGTGTCATAGGCACTTTAAGAACTGGTACTGATAGTACTTCACTTCGCCTTATATTGCAGTAATCCTTAGTGTGGATTTCAGATTTTGCTCCGGGGGGGGGGGGGGACATTTAGAGGGGAGGTGAGCAACACAAGTTCTGCCAAACAAGCTACAGCAGGGGTCTGGGGTGTGTGTGCAAGATTCTATAGGTGCGGTGGGAAAACTTTTTGGGGGGGGGGGGCGGGAGGGTGCAAAATATTTGGGGGAGTGTGCACACCCCAGAAAATCTGTCCGTGGTCATGGCCATTATCTGCTGTATAAGTACTTAGTGAAACCAGTTCTACAAAGATATTTGCTGAATGATCAGATACAATACCTGTCAGCAGTGCAAGAAGCTCTGACGGCAATTCCTATCACAGAGTTTTTGTAATCATCATTTCTTTCAGCAAATTGCAACATGCATTTTCATTTTTACTGTTTTCACCATTACATGTTACAAATGTAGATGGTACATGTCATATATATTATTTTTTTACCATCACATGTAAACTGGACTTTTCCATCAGACAATTTCCAAACAAACGCCTTGTCGTCTTCACCACCTGACACAACATGACTGCAACTTGACGGATCCATCGATACACAGAATACCGATGCTAGAAGATTTATTTAAAGCATTTTCAAAAATATAATTGTTGTAATTAACAAATACATAAAATATAATCCAAGTATTACCAGTATGCTGTGAAAAAGTCAGGTCAGAGTCGTCTCTTTCTTCAACAAATTCATCATCTTCGTTTGTTTGGTCAATGTTTTCCTCATTATCTACAGTCATTTCCTCAATGTTGTAAGCAAGCTCTAGATTTAAAATGCCCCTCATTAAACATTAGGCTATGTTTACACATACTGGATAGTTTTCCATAGCAACGTGAAAAACACCTATCTGTACCTTTTAGGAACGATATTTTCAGAGGAATCCTAGTTAAAAATATTATTAACATTCCGTATTGGATGGGTGCTTTTTTGCACCACTACAGAAAGCTATCCGGTATAGTCGGACAATAACAATAATTTACTGTAGCCTAAATAGATCTATATAGTAAACTTTGCAACTGGTTTTCATGAGGTCTCGCAAGTGCAAAGCCTCAGAAGCTTAAAACCAGAATGGTGTCCACAGGACTGGCTGCCCATGTGATTCATATATACTCATTACTATGTGTAATAAGTATATCAGTTAATAATTAACAACAATTTCCAACATAATTTGAAACAACGTTGGTACTACTGTAACACTTCCCCGGTTCCAAAGGTTAATTTCCCCACATTCATTCATTACAATCACTGCCACCAGGTAGTATTAAAATTTAACACGTGTGAAGTTGTGCCCATGTGAGTACATCTGGCAATTATACCTGCATTTGGTCCCTCGTCATCCAGTTCAATTTCCTCAATAATTTCAAAATTCTCTTCCTCATCATCATAACCTTCCTCCATCCTAAAATTACTTTACAAAACACAAATTTAAACACAAATTTTCCCAAACTGTTATCGATTTAAAATCCAAAAATTGCAATTTTTTTCAAACATTCTTCCCCGTCCCAGTTCTTCCGTGGTCAATTCATGCGCGGTCAAAACAATCAAAACAACATGGCCGACAAAAAATCAACAAAACAAGACGAATTATTAACAAGTTCGAGGACGGAAAAAACGGAAAGTCCTGCCGATTTTTTAGGTAGCTCTTTTGAATAATAAAGAGACACTATTATCCTTTCTAAATACTCTTTTAAAACGTTTATTCCGCCTAAATATAGCCTGAAACACACCAATATAAAATCCGAAGGAGTGTGAAATTTAGAATTAAACTTTTTTGTTATTTTGAATTAAATTTCCAGCGCGAGTCGGCGTAACTCGACAGATGCAAGAAGTTATTTCTATAATATTGGAGAATAGACCTGAAGATCCCGTAGCATATATAGCCGAGTAGTGAGTAATTTATTTTAATATTGCAGTCAGAAACTCGGAATTAGAATGTTTATTATTAAAACCATTTCATATTATAAAGTCTATCTACTATAAATCGGGCTAATTATTCTGCATTATGCAGACATTATCTGTTTGTTTGAACTTCTAACACTCCAAACCAATTTCTGAATTTCTTCATATAGTTTTGCCAACATAGCCGAGCATGTATCAAGCGTTTCTCAAGCTTATCAACACTTATGTCTGAGTCATCACAACCAGCCTTCATTCGAGAACAATCTGTTGAAAGCCTACGCTGTTTTAAATAGACAGAAATGTGGCCAGGGCTTGAAAGGATTGACTGGAAAATCATATAACGAACTACTGGATATGTTATGCAGGTAACTCCTAAAGTAAACAGCGCAGATAACGGTCTTTATACCCAAAAATTTTATTCACATATATTTGGCTTTGTAATGGAATAGAAGGCCCCTGGCTGGGTACGAGGTTGTTATCGACAGCAGTTGCCATATAGATTCTCACTAGCCTTAACTTCAATTGATTTGTTCTTGGGATGGCAGTAGATTCGAGTTTCAAGCCAACTAAAAATTACCAGGAAACTAATATAATTCACTTTGGCAATTTTATTATACTTGCCACCGTTTCTCAGACGTAATCCCATCACGTTAATTTTGGACATTCACAGCTAAGAGAACGCGAGGAATATGCTAATGTCAAATATTTCCTTTTCTCCAAGGGATATTGCATCAAATGAAGCGGACACATTGCTGAACATGCTGCAAAAACGAGAACAAGGGATTGTTAGGTTTAATGTCTTCGCTTCTGGCGTGACTTGCTGTTTCTTATTTAAAGGTGGGTAAAACTTTGTCAATGATCACAACCACGATGGCACGATTTACCTTAAGAAACATCTTATTGTTTATTTCCATACTCTATGCAGATTTTATTTCGCAAGCCAAGTCGCTGTTTCAAGATTTAGACTTATCTGGTAGAGGTAGGATATCTTCTTTATTGCTCAAAACTTGCTTAATTTGTCTTCATTCTTAAATCTTCTTTTATCTTCCATATCATTCTTTGTCTTATTTCGCAGGTCATGCAGATTATACGCTTTGTGTTGCGATGCTATCCCAACTGACGACAACAGTATCACAAACGAACGAAAATTCTTCCCTCAGGTAAAATGTCAACTCCTACCGCAAAAAGAAGAAAGCGAACGAGTTCCCTCAGAATCTGCGATTCATTAAAATACCCGGTGACACCTCATAAGTCACGCGCTTATTGGGCACGCGACTATGAAGTATAGACCCAATAATTAAAGTTCGTTTTCTATTTCCAGTATTTTAGAAGCTGGTGTTTCTTTGAGTACGCAAAATGTCGACATTGCAATGAAGAAGGCAAGTGTGGAAAACTTCCATTACTGAAAGTCTTGTAAATCCTGCTTATTTCTAAAATTTTAATTTCAGGCTCTCGCTGACAGCTTCTCACACAACACTGGAAAAACAATGTCGTTGGACGAGTTTGCACATCAAGCTGGCAAAATTTTCTTCACAAAGGTATTCTAATGTTCCTACTTTTTAGTAATTCTGAACTTGCAACAATTGCACAAATATAAACTGGAGCTGTTTCACTTTTTTAGATACCAACATCAGAGAGCAATGAAATTCCATGAAATTGAAGTATTATACTCAAATACGAAAACAATAGAGAGACTATATTGTATGGTTGTCAAAATAGGACTATATCTATAAATGACAAAGATAAAAAGTATTTATATCCAATGCAATCGCCACTACTGTATATGTTTAAAAACCTTTGTAACATAAAATTGTATTTCTGTAAATTGCACAATAAATTGTAAATAGAGGTCGTTTCTTCACTTTCGGTACCTTTACTTCACACAATTTTGGGCTCATAAAGGCTGGTGTACACTATCAAAGTTTCTGTGATCACAGTAGGAATTTTGCATCGGTAAATTCTAAGTTTTGAAGGATTTGTAAGAAATGTTTGAGTAGAACTGATGCAGTGTTAAACACTTTGTCAGTTCCCTCAAACATTTCTTACAAATCCTTCAAAACTTAGAATTTACCCATGCAAAATTCCTACTGTGATCACAGAAACTTTGATAGTGTAAACCATCTAAGTAAAAGGAAGTTTTGTAATAATACTACATTCAACACAATGAAATCTAACTAGTTACCCTATAATAAACCAAACTCAAGTTAGGCAGAATGAAATCTAACTATAACCCTATAATAAACCAAACACAAGTTAAATTAAGCTGCTGCAGCAGTGGATGTACTAAACCCTATGAGTATATCAGAATATGTGTTCTCCCACACTGGAAACCGTACTGAACCATAGAACCAACTACGATTATGAAATGGCAATTTGATAAACGACAGTACTCGATTGAAACTGGTGACCACCTTTTGAGCGTCTATCGTGTCATTCAGTGGTGCAAGACAAGTTACCCGCGATATGCATTCAGGAATTTCAGAACCAAACCGGCCTGCCACAAAAGTTCCCTTTCTGTCCAAAGTAATCATACTCGATCCACAGTTACCACAAATGTCTCCAGTATAAATATCATTGGTTGGTTCGCTTGTTTGATTTAGTTTAAAAGTAGAAGAGTGATCATCCTTTTTCAAGTCCACTACATCGTCCTGTAATCTTGTTCGCCTCTTTCTAACGGATTGTGAGATTTTCAGAGAGTATTCAGAATGTCCTATTTGTCCCATAAATGATAGAGACGGAATTGATTTGGCATCCATTCTAGGTGTGCCTTGATGGCCTTTGCTTGAAAAGCAAATGGGAGTGGAGAGAAGCAATGCGATAGACAACGAATAAGCCAGAGCACAACCCAAGATTGTCTGGAAGAGATGAAATTTTTTCTATTTAGGTCAAAATATATTGTTAGCATATCTCAACTGATTTCTCACATGGACAAGCCAAGGAAACCAAATGGTTATGGACATTGTATGGTAAAAAGAAATGGCATGGTACTGTATTGGTACATTATTGATTATATGTATAGTGTAGTTTTGTATTTTATATTTTGTAAAAGAAAATCAGCACTACATTTACATGACTTAATGATGCTCCCAACTCAGAAAAACCCAGCTCTATAAATGCCCATCATTCGGAATTTTGGCCAATAGACGTTTCATATTCTTACCTTTCCCGTGCTTTTCAAATATTTAGTAAGAAAGTCTTGGAACATCAAATTTTCAAAAAGCGTGCTCATGTCCAAATACGAATACCAACCACGTCCTTCTCCTTGATCTAACGCAACCCTGAAATATAGTCCTAATATTTTAATGCCATTTTCTACATTTTGAGAATTCAAGTTTGATAGATTGTTAAAAATATTGATGCTTATTAATTTTACCTTGTCTCAACTTTATTAACAAAATTGAAAAATTCCCTGCAGCTAACAAAAATTTTCCATTCCTAGTAAAAATTAACAAACAGCATAAATTTTTGCTTGCAATAATGTTTTCATATAATGTCAAACAGTAATGGGAATGGCTAAAGGAATAAACAAAAAGTCATTTGTTTGACTTACAATTGAGTTCAAAAATTCTCGTTCCAGTCTGTTCAAGTCATGGATATGATAATTACCTAGTTGATTATAACACAGATTATAAATTAAAAGAATATAAATTAATTATGAATAAGTTTTTTAGATATATTTCCATACCTGCTTTGCACCAGTCATAATTATATGCGTCATCACCTTCACCGTCGTCATACAGATATTTGGAAGCAACCAGCTTAAAAGAACACAAGTTATTTTCATGGTGCATTGCAGCTAGTTTTAACCCATTGCATTGAACCTCAATGTGCCCTATTTTATTACTTTACTCTGTCTAACACCAGACAATTTTACTCATCAAGGGGAGAGTGCTGGCACTCAATGGATTAATGGTTTAGGCTAAACCACTAAAAATATCGTAAAGAAACTCACCATCGATACCATGAACAAATCTGAAGAAGAAACTTTCTTGAGGTAGTTGGGGTTACTTTGAGCGAGTCTTTCAGTGTACAAGATTCCCATCATCAGAGCACACGGAGAAATTCTTGCACGTCTAAATAATAATTTAAAGGTGAACCGACCGAGAACACCCATCACATGACCAAGATCTTTGACATGCATTTTTGAAGTTTCCTATAGATTTATTTTTTAAAATTTCATTTGCACAATTTCCAAACTTTCCAGTCAGGTTGGCAACAAAGAAGGTGGAAGATTTGTGGTATAATGGACAATTCCAGGTATAGACTAAATTTTGATCTAGGCAAGAAAAACAAAATCCATCACCACAGCTAGTAAGAGCATGTTAAAATTAGTAAAATTGCAAAGTTTGGCAGCGAAATGTTGTAAAATGAGGAAAATATAGCCCTACGAAATTTGCAAATTTTGTATTAATTTGTATTACGTGTGAGAAAATGCACCACATTTGGGCCGAAAGTGGTGATTTTCCCATGCATAATACAAATTAATACAAAATTTGCAAATTTCGTAGGGCTATATTTTCCTCATTTTACAACATTTCGCAGCCAAACTTTGCAATTTTACTAATTTGAACATGCTCTTTCTAGCTGTGGTGATGGATTTTCTTCTTCTTGCCGAGATCAAAATTTAGTCCACAGCTGGAGTCATCCATTGCAGTGGATGTAATGATGCGTACCTTGTTATTCTAGCAGCCTGATGTTTATCAAGAGATTTCTTGCCACTTGTTTTGGAGTTGATCAATCTTACAGCAACATCTGTCGTAATTAAACAACATGTTAAATATTCTAACAATGTCCCAACCCTCTTCTCACTTTTAAGGCATTCTCGTACCCAGAGCCCTTCTTATGCGCGGTGTGACGAGGGGCTGTGGCCAAATCCATAACCAGATACCATAAAAACATGGTAATAGAATATATCCGGTATTAGAACAATAACATTCGTTGTAGTCAATCAGATGCCAGTTTGATATGGATTTGGCCAGAGCCCCTCGTTGCGCTCTGTTGACTGCGCATAAGAAAGGCTCTGGGTATGAGAATGACTTTTAAGGCTGCACGACCATCAACAATACTCAGGTTCTATATTTTTTACCTGTTACAATCGGTGATGGCAATGTCCCATCAGCATATTTGCCGTAATACAGCGTTTTTCTGAGCCGTTCTTGAAAGTTCTTGTGACTGTCCATATATATCTAGTGAGATAGAATTCATAACGGCTCGACTCAAACTGGATATAAAGAACATATTTTAACCCATCAAGCTGCAATGTGCACACCAGACTTTATTATTTTACTCTGTCTAACACCGAACGATTTTACTCAGGGAGACTTTTGCAACTTGACGAGTTAACCAAACTATATGCCTATGTCTCTTGCTATTGTTAATTCATTAAGCTCCATAACTGTGCCGCTATAAATATGTACTCAAGCTTGTTATTTTACTTGTCTAATTCTGACAGTTCTACTTGTCAAATGGTGACTGCTAATCTTGAACCTAATATTGTTAATAGTTAATAATATTACAAAGTATTCTTTAATACTTTCATAATTGAAGCGTGAAACGTAATTTGTGACAAATTAATTTCTAGAAGCATAAATTTAATAATAACAAAAACACCCACTTGCAGTCTATATTTCTGCGGTTAAAACCAAGACATTTGTATTCCAAATACTTACTTTGTCGCTACTACAGGCATTATTAACATCTTGAAAACCTTTATCTGTAAACAATTTGAACATTTTCAAATTCATTTCATGAAAAATCGGACAAAAATTCGACTCAAAAAAATGGTACGATACTTTGCTAGATGACAACAACGCTCGCTGGGGCTTGTGGGAAATATTGCCGAGCACACATGGGAGAACTGGGTATGAATCATAAAATGCGCAAAAAAATCTAATTCCATTTTTTCGTAGGAAGTTGCGCAGGTGCACGGTACGTATCTTTAATTTAAAAATCATTTTTGCAAGTATTACTTTTAAGTACTAGTTAATTAAAACATGAGCAGCCGATCTTTACTGATCTGATATACAACGTGCTTAAAAAACGACCCATCTTATGAGTTCATTGGCGAAGTAATTTTAAAAATAAACATTGTCTAAACCGAGAAAATCAAAGCTGAAGTTTATGTAAATCAGGACAAATCTGTATCCGATTTACAAACATTGATTAAACATTCATTTCTTTTGTATTTTCCTCATGAATTATTAATGAGTTTTTTTACTGACGACCTTTTAAAACCGAACTAATCTCATTTATATTGGATAAATATTAAGATTTTACATTTTTATAGCGCAAATTGACACGTGGACATGATCAAATGCGCTTTACATCAAGTATTACGCTTACCTAATTACATACTTAGCCTAGACTATTTGATCTTTTACAACAATTGTGATATTACTTTCTTAACTGTGTTTATCCTAACCCACTCTGTCAACTTTCCCTGTGGGAGGAAACCAGAGCACCCGGAGAAAACCCACGACGTTCGGCAGAGCGTTGACCGACTCTTCACATGAGTCCGTAGTGAGAATCGAACCACGATCTCAGAGGTGAAAGACGCTTGCAGTCTGACGCTTTACAGTCAACTCGGCCCACTAACCAACTGGGCCCACCGTTCAAGGAACAACTCCGGTCGCTCGTAAACTGACTAATCTAACCACTAAACACGCTAGGAGCCATGACTACATTCTGTCTTTGCAAATTTTGAGAGATATTTGAATGATCAGTAATTTAGTATCAAAACGGACAGTTCAGTCGAGAATTTGAAACTTCGATAGATTCTTTAATTAAATTAAGTCAAACTGGATTCTCAAACTCATCTGTACGCCCAATGCAACTGCAAATGGCTGTATTGGTTTGGTGCTATCTTCTGTAAAATATTAGCTTTCCTAATATGTCAAACAATTGGGCCAAGATCATTCTCGTACCCAGAGCCCTTCTTACGCGCGGTGCGACGACGGGCTCTGGCCAAATCCATATTCCGAACTGGCATCTGATTGGCTAGTTCTGGACATTGTTTTCTTACCATGTTTTTATGGTATCCGGTTATGGATTTGGCCAGAGCCCCTCGTCGCACCGCGTGTAAGAAGGGCCCTGGGTACGAGAATGGGTCAAGATGGTATGGGCCGAGTTGGTTACTGGGCCGAGTTGACCAGCTTCCGACGACTGCCACACCGAAGCGCCATTAAATTGGATAGTTCTATCAATTATAAACTTTTCAATAAAGGCCAAATTGGCGTCCCTTAGCTAGTGGTCTAGTCTAGTGTTACAACGCAGATTGAAATTTTGGTAGACTCAAAATTGATTGGAAGCAGTCCTCTCACATATGACTGAGCCTGAGGTGAAATTTTCATAAAACTGCATATTCAACCTCGGTCATATTGCACTTACCACTGCACCTCCAACGGCTATCGACTGAACAACGCCGATTCATGATAAAGAAACTAGTGATTATAAATTCGGTTTTGGTGATATAAATTTAGCGATTACATGCATTAGTCACATGACGAGCTGACAAGCAATGAATGGCGCATTAACCTGGGCGGAGTTGCCAGGAACTCGTGAGTTTTACACACTGCAGAGATTTAAACGGATTTTAATTCAATTTTAAAGCGATATCTACTGTCAGAACTTCCTACAAATGCTTACACATGCGCTCATCGCTTGTCTGTTGTTGAATTGATTGCTGAAAAGGCTGGCTAATAGATAACCATCAGAACACACTAGGGTTGCTTCCTTTGCTTTGCGGACGGTCGGGACAGCCACGAGTAATTGATGAGTCAGACTGACTAATCCATATTAACTAACTAAACCATATGTGTGTTTTGAGTTGTCATACTAAGTTTTTTCAGTTCAAATTCCACATTCGTTTTTGCACGTCGACGAATATCTACTACTATGCATCTTAGTTTAGTAAAGAGTGTTGGTGCCAAAATGTTTTTCACTCTATAACTGAGGGTTGATTCCTGGAATCTGCCACTGGTCCGAGTATAATTTTGCCTCACTCCCACGTGAGGAAATTGCCTTCGGTATGAGTGTACCCCATGAAACACCCCAGGTCATCTTCAGGTAATACTTCGGATTCTTCCTGTAGTCACACTGGATAAATAAAAATGGCCCTTAAATGCTGGACCTCTGGGAAGAACAGGTCATGTAAAATTGACAGACGAAACTAACTTACTTGCAAACTATAAGTTCTAAACTGCTCTCCCTAGAGGTCTACACGGCAAAAAACGATCAGGTTGTTGCAATACTGATGAAAACAGGATTGAACAATGTTTTGCTGCCCATGCACATTGTTCACAGTTTTTGTCAACAATATTGAAAAATATTGTTACACCCGATTCAGGCTCAACAATATTGTTCAATATTGTTGACAAGTGTGAACAACGTGGGCAGCAAAACATTGTTCAGTCCTACGTTGAGCAGCGGGTTCGGCGTTTTTTGCCGTGTAGTAAAGGCAATTCCCTATTTGGCGAGTGTACGTTATTACAGAGGAAACAACAGTTTCTGGAGAAAACACATGCAGCTAGGACGTTTGGTCAAACTAGAAGTATACTTTTCTCATGTTAGACTTAGGACTGAAGATTGTAACCAGACAAATTACAAATAGATATTACAAGCATCAAACCCACAGCACATGCATGCATGCAATAACAAAAACATCAGGTATAACGCATGCATTCATCATTAAAGCCTTAAATTTACCAAGAAAGGAGGGGGTCAGGTAATGAGTACGTTTTGGAGACAGTAATATTCCTTAATACAAGCTATAGCTCCATTAGGCGGCAAAGGACAAGGTAGTTTCCTATTGATGCACTTTTGAGGCAATGACGCCGCAGTAAATGTTCCTCTTCGGAACAGACAACAATTGAAATAATGGCGGAACGAACCATTCATCTTTTCCAAACGCTTTAAGTATAGATTATCACCTACGCAATAATTAAGCAAAGTACCGTAGCAAAAAGGGCCGCAATGAGTAATCATGTTAATAACTAGGGTGCTTTAATGATATAAAAGAGTCCCCAGTTCGTTTTATGGGTGACTTTTTCAAAAATGTTCTCTACGCATGCATCGTGACTATATAGTGGAGTTTGCTTTTCAAATGACGTTTACAAAAATTTGGCCTTTTTATGTATGTATGTATGTATGAATGTTTGCCCAAGATGTGACATGCATATAATTGCATGATGGTGAGTAAATTTTCCAAGTAATTTTCATTCTAGCCATTTATACAGTTTCATGAGTATACAGACTACTTAGACTAGAAAGAAGACTGCTAGTTTTCGTTTAAACTGGAAGACCACATATGTCCAACAGCATACTGTATGTCCAACAAAGACAAACTGACTTGGTATGGATAAATGGAAACAAATTGATAAAACTTCATCTTTGGGAGGACCATTAGAGACAAATGCCCTGAGAATGGCTCGTATGAAACGGTGCATGTATCATTTAGATAGATTGTCACAAAATAAGTTTGTTCTGCTGATAATGGTAGTTAACTTTTGGAAGTGCTGACATTTATATAAAGGTCTAACTACATCCTGATCTATATCAGTGCTAGATAATAGTGAAAAGCATTAACATTTTTCTCTCACTTTTGTAATTGTAGGTAGAGCATGCACCATCAGCTGCACGATACAACACCTATTGCTTCATCAAGGAAAAATGATATAAGTGTAACAACTGTGCTACTGAAAGTCTCACTTATATTTCGAATTATTTTTTCTAGTTTTCAGCTGTTGACAGGAGTTCCACACCGAATATTCTTATAATTACCTTATTTTGTCTTTTGGTCGACTGTCGCATATTCTTAGAGAGTTATTTTATGTACAAACAACTGGTTTGCAATCCTCACTAATTATAAAGTTATTTGGAATATTTATACAAGGCTTAATATGGCTTTTAAACATGTTAAAACACTTCTGTTTTCTAAGTTAATGTATAATTTCACTTCTTAAGCAAATATTTAGAAGAATATTTAAACATATACTTGTTTTGTGTTTGTGAAAACATGTTTATTATTTCAGTAAAGCCTTTGATCAGCCAGTCTGGAATGTCATCCACTGAAAACTTAAAAATATATAATCATTTGGTTTGTTGGGAATATATAGGCAGTCAAGCCATCTCAACAGATAGGACTGTTTTCCAAGCAATTTATATTCAACGTGAAAAACAGTTTATGAGAAAGATTTATGAAGAATGTTTTTCAACATTAGGTCAGAAAACCAGTATATTGCCTATATGCATTTTGGATCAGACCTTTTGGATTAGTTTATTCTTTAAAGAATGGATGCATGAGGGTTTGATAGAGCTGAGATTTCGAAAGAACACGATCTGTCATCAGCTCGTACATATCTTTGCCTAATCAAGGCTTTGTAGATTTTGGACTGATTAAAAACTCTAAAAAAATGGGACAATATTTGCGCTCAAACGTGATGTGATGACGCAAGTCATTAACCTGTATGGCGTACTTCTCTACGCCAGCCGCTGGTCATTTAGAAAAACGTCCACCTGATTGCACGAAAACTTATTTACCTGACCGCATGGAACTCACTGCTGAATATTTGTACATTATAATTATCGCTACATATTACCAATATTTGTACATGAACATCAAACGAAATTCTTGGGGTGTTTAAAATAACAGAAATCAATAAACAAGGGGTGTTCTTGCACCTAACAAATACAATTTCCTTTGAAGGCAACCAATTTCGCGGCGCAGGAAACAAAAATTTATCACAATTATTATAGACATTTCTGCTTCCTTTTCTGCGGTTGGAAGTTTAATTTAACCTCGAATGGCGTTGCTAAAGGGCAGTAAAGGCTGCTTCTGGGTGGCTACGACATGTGTTTACAAATTTCGCAATTCGTTTTTAATTAATGAACTATGTTTGTAAACATATACAGCCATTGCGCGTCCTGCCTTGAACAATCAATTCAGAGGTTTCAAAGCATTTCTTATCTCTTCACAAAAGCTTATCTCATCAATAACTTGTTTTCTTAAAACAACAAACCGTTCGGTATTGAGTTTTCCGGTCAGGTTTTATTTGAGATTGCTCGAAAGATAGTATACGCCTTGTTTTTTCCGGAGAAACCATTTGGTTCCAATGACACATGCATTTTTGTCCAAGTATTTCATGTCTTAATTTGTGACTCATCATTTCAGATATCATTAACATTTTACTAAATTGAACCACTATAACAGCAAACATAAATCATGTCGTATATAAAGTAGAATTTCTTGAATAAAGAACTTAACTAAATCTCTTTACGAACTTGGCTGAAAATTGTGCATAAAATACAATAATTTGGAAACAATTCCTTTGCAAATTCGCTTCAGTAGTTCAGAAAACACAGAAATGTAGTCCTGCAAATCAAGCTTTAAAAAATTCTAATATTGTCATTGCAGTTCAAATTCAGGTAAAATCCTATACCCCCTCTCCTAGCTACTTTCAAATGCTTTGCCCCTGAAAGGTCTGCCCTTTACAATTGCGCTGAACGCTGTTAAGCCTTACTGATATTACATTACAAAACTCTAATCACGAGAAGCTTGAGAAGCTTGTACAGGCTAGTTTAGGTCGGTAAATTTGAAAATTTTCGCCAGATGTGCTGAAGAGCTCGAAAAGTGTTGTGTGATTAATATACGTTCCAGTTTTACACAAGTGCAAATAAATCTATGTCAACACTTGCTTTGCAAAACACGCTGTTGAGCTGTTCATGACAAATCTCGTGTATATCTGAAGACAAACGACCACGAGCATTTAAACTGGACATATAGCTGTTGAAATGAATCAACATATAGATTATTAGGTTGTATACTTGACACGCGACTGTTCGAGGCCGGGGTTTTTAGATTGCTGCACAAGGCAATTACATCCCATTTTATTGGATGTTGAAACCGAAAATGTTGATTGATGTTTGGTGATATTTACTCCGAGCAGACTCTAGCAAGGCAAGAGTTAAAACGGACACATAAAATATTGGTTACATTCGTTTAGAAGGCCCTCCTTCAACTCGTTCGTCGCTGTAGATTAAAATAAATGAAGACTTAAAAGAGTAGCCCGCCATTGATTACATCGTTTTTTTTTTATATAGATAGATAACTTTGTCAATTTTTCATCCTTTGTCCCAGAGTAATTATAGAAAGAAAAAGAATGGTAGTTTAAACATTATCTGACCTGAAATAGAATCCCTGACAATGCATTCCAGTTAGAGAGACGCCAATAAGTCGACGAGCTGCTGTGTTGAAGCAAATTGACGCGTTTCTCACGCCATTTAGTAATGACTTAATTCCAGTGCCACCTACGAGAATTAGAGAATGATTATTGGTGGGTTAGAGCTAGCGTTACAATGCACCTGATGGTGCTCAATTTCAGAAATGTTCAACTGATTGAAGCAAATACATTAAACTAAAACACTCTCTTTTATTTATAATTTGCCACCAAATGCTCTACAAAATATAATGAAAAATGAACATAATTTTCTAACTCTGGTATCTGCAGGTTAACCATCATCTGCTTGCCAGCCTAACTTCTCGACGAAGTTCTCCTTATATTTTTCAGGTAGTTCATCCTGATCAGTCCCAAATCTTTCCTAGTGTTTAGTAAACCCATTTATATACAAGCATTGCATATACTTCTTTTCACCACAAAAACTATACAGTTTTAAATAAATTTTGAGTGAGCCTTGCTGAATTTGCCAATGAGTAAATACATTTCTTAAGTTTCCAATACAATTATGGGCAATTAATAATAATTCTCCGTGCATTTTGATAGGGCAAGCAAAACATTTTATGGGCACGGGTTAATTAAGCTATTCACTGGTACGTAATTATTGCAAGCTAAGAGAAAGCACAACGCGTTAGTGCCGACTTTGTGCAAAGGCGGCCTTTCTATGCCACACCAGGCGGGACATAATTAGCCATAGTCGGGTATTATTGATTCAGTTGAGAAACAACTGTAAACCGACTCGATTGTGCGAGATGCCGAAGCTGGCGACAGATACCTTGTGTCAGCAATGTACATGTTAAATTCACTTGCATGTCTTCGTTATGTACTTTTAGTTAATTCACACCATAATCGCTTTTCAACACATCCTCAAACACCTTTAGATGGGTACAGCCAAAAACAGGTGGTCTACGGGAAATGGAGAGGAAACTCTACTGATTTGATCGAATGTTTTTCGGCTATATACTAAATAAATCGTCACCAAAAGGTAGTTGCTTAATTAGAACGGTTATCCGTTTCTTGTAACAATTATATGACTGCGGAACGTACTGGTTTAGTTCATAAAAAAAATCGCTTTTGAAAATTTAAATTTGGCTCAATGAATAATATCAAAACAACACGTTTATAGCTATTTTGTTTTTAATTATAAATTGTGTGTTTGTGATTGACATAGTTTAATGTTAGATTTGCTGGTCAATATCATCAATATAATTGATCGGCATTAATTCGAATTTGCAGGATATGGTTTACACTATCAACGTTTATTTGAGCAAAGTGGCTAAGTCGCCCATAATCAACGAGGAGAGTTTAGAAATAAATTCGTGCTTTGAATCTAAGTGTTTGAAGGTTTAAATTTCAAGTTTATTAAAGTAACTTCGATTGGGCCGCGAACAAGTATTTTGGTAGTTTGTGATACTATGGATATCAGAACAGTGTTTATCCAGACTTGCCAAATGGTGTAAGATTAAATATTAAATGTTAGTCTGGGCAAGTTCTTCCCATCCTTAATCCAGGGCCAGGCACATGACTGGCAAGTTCGAAGTGACGAAAATAGGCCCGTTCTAATTCCAATTAGAACTAATCGATCACTCGAGCGCTACTTTGCACACGGCAAAGTGGACAGAAGAGTTGTAAAATAAGGAAACAATTAATTAGTCACGCACTATGTAATCACTTTAATTTTGTCTTGTCATTTCATGCCGATCGCAAGAAACAATTGCCTTTCGGAGCACGGTATCTCTCGAAAGAACATCCTAGCGAACTATGTACCTATCTGTAATTTGCGACATTTTCGAACGACTTCCACAGCGTAACGGTTTTGACGCCAGCTCGGTCAACAAACGGTTTATTGTCGGGCGTGTTTATGTTTGCAGTATCAGTCACGACTAACATGTTCCCTCCTCTGTTCTCCCGCGGTGCGAGTGGGGTCTTAAAACAATTACATGCAATTAACTAATCATAGGTTTTATTTATAATTATTTGACGTTGTGAGAACGCCCCGCATGGGCACAATTAAAGAAAGAGAATCGGCAAGATCGCAAACAGAACACACAAAATATCTGCCGTTGCGTTTTCAACTGGCGACAGTGCCGAAAAGTGAACGCATTTCTGGTATTGACAATAAGCAATAAACGAGCTACATTGATAAGCAGAAAGTAATCAGTTTATACAACACAATCAGACAGCGGTCAATCTTTTTGAAGGAGAAATCTATAAACGATGACGGTAATTTTAAAGGCTTTAACCGTTTTCCTATTTGCTCTAACGCCGATCGTAATTGAGGCGACTGCTGCATGGTGGTGAGTACTGATCAACATTAAATATTTGAATTATCATGTTTTCTTTTGAACAGTTATGTTTTAGAATTGAACTGACGATCTCATTTCTACATTGCTTGCATGCCTTTCTACCAGTGTAAGAGATGGGTTTCACTGTGGTGCTTATTCTTCAGTTATCACTAGTAATTCTTATAGTCTTGTATTTGAGACGCAAGTAAATTGAACTGGTAAGATCTAATTTGATTTGCTTGTTACCTTAAGCCTCAACATCACTGAAGCTAATCACCATCTGTAACGCTTTCTGAAAGCACCAACAAGATTTCGAATCGCTTGCTCAATTCCCAACCAAATCTTTCATTTTTGCCAATAGGGTTGCAGTGTCCTTAGTTGGAAGTTCCATAGAGGATAGACCACATAGACCTGTGAATATTATCAGCTCTGCCTTGTCAGATAAACAAAAAACCATCATAAAAAACCACCGATCGCCCGGCCTAATTGATACTATTGCAAATGCAGCACAAAATGCAATCACAGAATGCCAGCGACAATTCAAACATCGGAGGTGGAACTGCCCTTCGACTAACCCGTATAATGTCTTTGGTCAGATTTTAAAAAAAGGTGAGTAACAGATTCATATCTTTATATATTGTATACATTGTCTTCTAAAAATGCTGCATGGTAACGATGGCTTTCAATATAACCGTCATGGTGGTATCTTCAGGAATGAGCAAGAAAATTCAACAACATCTTTCAATTCAAAGTTATGTTCCTCTAAATACAAAACTACCACATACAATGAAAAGACTATAACCTTATTTTCTTTAATGCTTGGGTAACTGCATGCCAGTTGACCACAATCTCTGTTTAGCGAAACCCACTCGTACGACGGGTATAGATCGTATTATCGTTCGTCTAAAGAGGCTATGTAGATAAGAATTAATCCGTGTTTATCAACCACTCAAATTGACACTTATCTTAAAGCGTTATCAAGTATAATCTCAGTAGATCTATAATTGATTGCTCAACTAGGCTCAAAGCCAAATCGCCAATTTGCTCACGTAGCTATATGTCGACTGGTTCCGTCAACTTTCACTGAATGCAAGTTCCTAGCGAAAGAAGTTGTCTTTAAATATATGTATGTTGCGATAAACTATTGACTTATACAAAACTTAAGTAAAAATTTGAAGTTCTGAGCTGAAAGGGCGTTATACTTTATCAAAGGTCCATCAAAGGACAAGCTCTAAATTATGATATCAGGTCTGACAAATTGGCTAGCGAAAATATACCGTTAAATATGCGCACTTTAACATTTGTGATTTGAAACTGAGAGTCAGTGATTCCGACTGCCCAGACATCCAACAGTTTGCAATGTTTGATATTTACAAAATAAGTAACTCTTGCATCAAAATGTTTATGTAAATCAAAGCTGCTTCGTTACATTGATAAACGCCCCACGAAACACACAACGTGCCAATTTTGCCGTGTTGTTTGGGCATCAGTATTTGATACTGTTGCGACGGTACTGTGCAATAACAAACAAGAAAATCCGTTGCGTAAGCCAAACTGGCTTAGTTCATTAAAACAGCATTTCGAGAGCGATCAGGTTTGTTTGAATTGCTTTAACCACAACACACCCAATGTTTGAGTTTTAAATTAGATATGGCATTCGCGAAATTCGCGACAAAGCAATTCTGTCTAAATATAAAGTTAAGGACAAATTATACTGTACATCATTGTGAATCAGCAAACGACGGGATACGAAATTATCATAGATAGATTGTTTTATAATTTTTCTTGAATAGGTATATGATTTGGAGCGAAGCAATTATCCCACACATATATGTCTACGGTACAAGTATAAAATTAGCTAAGCCAATTAGTGTGGAACTTTCGATGTATCTAAAAAAAGCATGCAAATCCCACGCACGTAGTCGGTGAAATTAAGTAGGAAGAAATGCTTTTCTTTCGTTAAAATACTCAAGAAAGGTTGCTAAGAATATATTTGTCTAAATAAACTTACTTAACCGGGAGGAAATACCGGACTTGCCCACCATTACCTTTATTCTTCATTTTATTTCAATTGGAATTGATTTCTATAATCGATTTGACTTGTGGAACACTGTTACTGACTTATACCTGTAATTATATATGTAAGAATATCAAACGGTTGCAACACAAGACTGCAGACAGGATCGAGTGCAAGCAAGAAATATCTTGTATGCAACACAGTATTTTCATTTTTATCCCTGACAATAGTATCCACTTCCTGCATGCTTTAATTCCACTTTATAGTTAATGTATAGTTCCTGCGAGGATATAGCCGCGAGCTTTTATAAACTCTTTTGGCGGTGCCATCCGAAATCGCCCAGCAATTGTTGAAAAATTGCAGCTTAACCGGCTTTTTGAAGAGCTAATAGACCTGTATCCTTTAATGGCACTCAATTATAGAGCACTTTGTAGCCCGCAATGTATAATTTGATCGTTTGCTGGGTGGCCATGCATTATGTTTTGCCTGATAAAACTTTGCCGCGCGCGGTCTTCCTTCCTTACAGGAGTTGCGGGGAATTAGGAAGATATTAGCAATGCCTTTGTATCAGTATACATATTTATCAAGAATTATTGCATCCGTATTGGATTACTGCTTCCTTAAAATCTAAATATACTTTTGCGGATCCGTGACTAAAGCTTATAAGTGATGTTTATAGATGTTACCAAATCTCTTGAAAAACGGATATGTTTCAGACAACTGTCGATCGAAGACTTTTCCGGCAAATATACATAGTTGAATATAGTGAAAATCATAGATACGTTTATCAATGGCGTCTGCCGATAAATTCATAAACTATTGGACAAAATACACTTCGTGCATGTAAAAGTTCCACCCTGAAATTGCACGAAAAAAAATTTAAAGACAAAGAAAACGAAATATTGAAATTTTGTGTCCTGTTGTTGTTGTTGTTCTCAAATATGATTCTAATGCTAAAGATGGAACTTCTTCGAGTCTGTGTCGTTTTTTCAATATACATGCAGCTATAAATGTACTTACATGTAGATAGATTCCCTCAACAGTGTTTCATAATATAACATCGTGGTGATTCTTCGGAACATGCTATTCTGTAAATCAGAAACATAACAGAATATGACCTTTAAATATATTTTGCCCAAATACTTTCGGTCTACAAACTGCTCAAACAGAACGAGAAGACAGATCGTTATACTGTATTTGAATATATATAATTTGGATATGCGGTCCACCTACTAGTACTAAAGGACTAAATGAATAAAGTGATTTGTGGTTTCCTTGTTGTAGTTTAAAACTTTAATGGAAAACACATGTAGAAAAAAACAACTATTTCGAGCAGTCTCTTCGTCAGATTCAACTCATGTTTTTATCTTTAAAATTTATTTTGCTATTCACGCACTTTTCCCGGCTTGGCTTCAAGTCTAGAATTCTTTAAATTCCATGTCTAGTCGGTGTTTTCATCTTAAACACTGCTGGTGCCTACGCGCTCGATAAACTACACAAATTATAAACAAGGGAAGTGTAACGAAGCTTTGTTAAAATTTGGCAAGCAGTCATGGTGTATTTTTCACCGCAACTATCCGCTTTGAATGACCTAGCTCGTGGCGATTTCACTAACAGGAACTTGCGGGACTGTCTAACATAATGATCAATGAACGGCTTGTATTCACGTAACAGATAAGGATATGTTGAGGCAAATTGAAACTAACTTTATTTATACTGGATAGCTCTACCTGTTCTCCTCAAAGATGCAGTAAGGACCATTTCATATTGATTTATAGGCTGGATAACTCTATCAGTTGTAGGTTGTTCTCCCCAGAGATCCAGTAAGGGTCATCTCTTATGGATCCAGTGGCAGTGTTACTACAGGATGAAACCTAAACTAACTTTATTCATACTGGATAGCTCTATCAGTTCTAAACTGTTCTTCCTAGAGGTCCAGTAAGGATCATCTCTTATGGATCCAGTGTTACTACAGGATGAAACTGACCTAAACTAACTTTATTTATACTGGATAGCTCTATCAGTTCTAAACTGTTCTCCCTAGACATACGGTATAGTAAGGTATTTTAGGCAAATAACAGTGAAATGTACTTTTTTGACAACTCATGTACAATATTTTATAACGAGATTTTAATTGTTTTTTCTATCATATAGCTTGTCGTGAAACGGCATTCGTCTACGCGATTACAGCGGCAGCGGTCACCCACGAAATATCTCGGGCATGCTCAAACCATGATCTCATAAAATCGTGTACTTGCGAAAATCCGAAAGCAGGCGTGGTTACCAAGGCTGGATGGCAGTGGGGAGGATGCGGGGATAATATTCGTTTTGCAGATAAATTTGCGAGGAAGTTCCTCAACTCTACTGAGAAACACAAAGATTCCCGTGCTCGTATCAACATGCACAATAATGTAGCTGGTATAAAGGTAAGAAATATTTTTGTACAAAATTCGTGTAAGGGACCGTTCATTGTTTATACCAGGGGTTGGTACCGAAGAGATATGGGTTGGGTAATCAAGTTTTTGACTAGCTCATGGGTTGGGTAGAAAAAATTATGGCTGTCTGTCAGCTATAAAATCAAATAAAATTACCATGCATCGGAAAATCTGAAGAAAAATGTACAATTAACATTCTGTACCAATATAGACCATCAATGATTGAGGAAGGACTATATCATTGATCAGCAGGAACGGGATTGCTTTGGCACACTCAGTGAGTTTGAGTGTGAGTGAGCTTTTAAAATTTAGGCAACTTGATTTCTGTCACCATAATCTCGTGTGTTTAATTACTATGAAGTACAGTAACACATGGGTTGGGTAAACATTATTTTGACCATTGTTGAGTTTGGGTAAATAAAACATTTACACTGTTTTTCGCTTCTCTTCGGTACGAACCCCAGGTATAAATAATGAACGGTCCCTAATTTGTTTGTTTTGCTGTGGACAGGCTGTGTAACCTCCTGAATCCCTCCCAGGACTTGAGCCCATAAGCTAATAACTTAAATTCAAGAACAAATTACTACAGGTTTCTATAGGCACCAGAAGAGATAAATGATTTACCGAGTCAAGCATGCCAAAATATTTTCATCGAAAATACGTGAATAAGAAAAAATCTCCTCTATGTACACTTGTCAAAAATTCGCATTAGTCAGTGTTGCAGGGAATTGCTCTATGTCCTGACAATTTTCATAGCCGACTCTCTTTATGAAATGAATTCTATACAGTTCGGAAACGCAGGCACTCCACATTGATCGGTGTTTAGGCGCGAGCAAGCGGGTATCTGTTTTCAAAAGCATAGTTTTACCGTGGGTGGTCCATGTACGCGATTGTGTTGGACAACTAGTGTTTACACTAAGTCCAGCCCGCACAAATATGCAACGTGAATAGCGGACTAATTTTGCGTCAATGCAACTCAAAAGTTGACGGGCAATTTTCGTGCTTCACTGCCAGAAATTGCTTCAAACTTTAATAAATCTTTAGTTCTTTACAATTGCTTCCTTTTCTTTGGCTTAATTTAAAATATCCGCACAGGAAGGCCATTAAGCTATCTTATCAGTCCGGATTGTTCCGTGTTAATACGACTTTGTTCGGCAGTTTTATTTTCATGGTAATTTTAACCACAACATGAAAGCCGCTGGTTGTTTAGGATGCCGACAGCATGTTCTGTTTTCTGTATACTGTCTTAAAAAAAATGGGGAAATATTTTAATTATTTTTTTAAAAAAACAACGGATAGATTACCCTCTAGATCTCTAAAAAATAGCTCCATGTATATAGTATACCCTCATGGCTACATATATATATGTGATTATCTCTTAAAATAAAGTCCATATCCAATTGATCATTCCCCAAATAACCAAAAATTTTGAACTCAACAAGTCTAGACAAAAATTTCATCACAGCTTGAAAGAGCATCACAAAATTAGTAATATTCCAAAGTTTCGTTGCAAAATGTTGTAAAATGCGGATAATATAGCCTTGCGAAGTTTACAATTTTCAGTCATTTTAGATTACAAACGGGAAATGGTTACCACTTCTGTGCGCAATACAAAATGACTGAAAAACGGCAAACTTCGCAAGGCTATATTATCCGCATTTTACAACATTTCGCAACGAAACTTTGGAATATTACTAATTTTGTGATGCTCTTTCATGCTATGATGGAATTTTGTCTAGACTTGTTGAGATCAAAATTTTGGTTAATTGGGGAATGGTCCATTGAATGTCATAAAAATAATATTCCACAGTCAAGCGACGATTGTCAAGAACCACGAGTTGAGAATAGGTCTAGCCTTTTCTTATCTTATATTGAAAGAGGCCTCTGGTAGGAATCCGACCTGCGATTACGGTGTAACACTCTTCTCAGTTGGTTAGAACACTGCACCGGAATCACAGGGCGGCAGGTTCAATTCCTGCCAACTAGAGGACCTATAGTTGCATTTTTCGCAACTGTTCCTGGTTAGGTATAGCCTGCGAACAGGCTCTCAAGCTGAATTGAGAGCCTGCATCGATGACTAATGAATTTGAATATCTACCCCGTAACGTTCGTTTTTTCCAAATATGGAATGTATATCCTTATATGGTGTTGTTGACAACTTTCGTGCAAACTATAAAATTTAGACCGTGCAAACTAAATTTAGACCGTACAGTTTATACTGTTTTTCGAAATATAAGATATTGAAGCAAAAGTTCAAATGTTTTAAATACTGTTTTCTCAAAACAGAACATTTCGTGCTTTGAGATAAGATGGTCAAGACCAATTTGATCAGTTAATGTGTTTTTTATGCATAGTGCTTCAGCAGTTGACATATATAGAGCTCGGCGGAAACATATAAATTATAGCATCTGACCAATGAGAATTTCGCGTCACGATTTGAGACGCAGATATTCAAATTCATTAGTCATCGATGCAGGCTCTCAATTCAGCTTGAGAGCCTGTTCGCAGGCTAGGCTAGGTATAAATAAATGTATGGAAATTTACACTTGAAATTTGCGTCTGCAAAATCCTGATCTTTTGAGATATCTTTTCCTAATTGATAAATGATATAATTGAGGACTGATAAGGCCTGATTGATTAAAAGCAAGCCGTTGGCATTCATGCATAGAGGAATCATTTTCCAATTCTCGACTCTATTTTCACCTCAGCCAAATCTCACGACTATCAGAGATTATCAAGATAATCCTCATTCACTTATTAAAGAATAAAGTATTTGTCAATTTATGTGCTATCTTATTCAGTGATTATATCGCAAGTCTCAATAGCCTTGAGCCTGTATGGCACTAGTCTTCAATTGCGGCTGCGCATCCGCGAGTCAATTAGTATAATAGGAAACACGTTCCCTGCACGAGCGAATGTGTGTGGTGTTTAGCGGATGCATGTTCCTGTAAAACGCCTGCTTTGTTTTAAAATGGAAAATATGTTTTAACAACCTTACTTTCTACAGTAAAACTGAACCTATAAAGAATGGAAGACTTTATTTCGCTTCCAATAAAGGTCCATACAATGTTCATTCTATGACCTTCTATGGATTTTCAAAATTTTTTCCAGTGGCATCCAAACACGAACTCTAATTCTTACCCTAACCTTAACCTAACCCTACTCCAAGTTTGTTTCTAAACCAATCTTGGAGAAAAAGAATTTTGACGAAATGTCATTCTGAGGTCAGCGAAGACGAAGTAACTTCTTCCAGAAAGAATGGCCCTTACTGAACATTTATATAAGGAGAACAGTTTAGAATAAATAGAGCTATCTTTGACTGGGGTTCCTCCTTAACAGGGCAGTTAAATACAAATTAACGTGGATGACTATATTATAATTATTATAATAATTATTTCAATTGCAAAACGTCTCATTACTCAATGTTTTTTTTATAAAAAATGAAGAATACAAATAAAACGAAAGGCTGTCCATAAAGAATACTAGTAACCTCAATACCAAGAGAAATTTGAAATTATAAAATACTTATTATTTTCATCTTCCCTCTAACTTATTGAATTAGATCATACGAACTGCGTGATATCAAATGCCAGCCATCATTAAGCATATTACAGTCACAGTACATTCCTGAAATTGAGCACTGCCTCTGAGCAATTAGCGAGTCGTAAACATTAAAGACAGAACCTTCTAGCACATGTTGGTGCTAATGATTTCAAAAACGCTCGGCAATTGTCTCGTTCTATTATGTTGCATAATTGAAGAAATTCTTCACGGGTATTTTGAACGTGTGAATTACCACCATTGATGAAATTTCCGCGATGTAACAAACGTGGTTAGGAAGAATTGTCGCGATGCCTTGTTGTTGTTTTTTCGGCAATTGCGTAAAGACGTTGGGAAGGATCACGGCATGTTTGTTTCGTTCCTCGGATCTCAAATTTTTTTTTCGACTTTTTCATTGTAAAAACAACGGAAAATTTGACCGTGCATTGCACTATTATGTATATGTAATATGCAACATTTCTCAAATGACACATCAGAAGTGCATGACATAACGATTCCTTAACTGATATTCTCCCATAATGTATGTGTGTTAAAAACTGAAAATGTCCCCCTAACAACCCTAACCCTAAATGATATCCTAATTTTTTGGTAGTCTATAATCGAAGTCCAGGGCTTTTTCAAGAGGAAGGAACAGTCTAGCTATATTTATTGTAAATACAGTTCAAGTAAAGTTTAGATTCCCTCTTCTAATAACACTGGATCAATAACGGATGACCTTACTAGATTTCAGTTTACAGACAGTTTACAACTAGAGAGAACAGTTAACAGCTGGTACGGAGCTATAGAGTAGAAATAAAGTTTAATATAGGCAACCCAGATTTTCAAACTTGAATTTTTCGAATCTCTAGGCTGTAAGGGCGAACATGTTTCGCCAGTGCAAATGTCACGGTCTCTCTCAACAGTGCACAGTTCGTACGTGCTGGAGAGCAGTACGAGATTTCAAGGTTATTGGCAAAGTCTTAAAAGAAAAATTCGACAGCGCTTCGCAAGTGGAACTGGAACAAAACAACTCGGGAAGAAAAATAACGTTCAGGCCTGTCAACAAGGACCACAAGCCACCGACAAAGGTCGATCTTATCTATTACGAGGAATCGCCAGAATTTTGCACCAAGAATTCCAAGGAGGGCTCGCTCGGAACTGTGGGACGGGAATGTAACCGCACCTCATTGGGCACTGACGGCTGTGATCTGTTATGCTGTGGTCGAGGTTATCGTAGCGACAACAAGACAGTGGACCAGGCTTGCAATTGTAAATTCGTATGGTGCTGTAAGGTGAAGTGCGAGCCTTGCAGAATTACGAAGAATGTTCACTTGTGCTTATAAAACAAAAGGGATACCTAGAAAATATCACGCGGGCGGGGCAAGGATGAGTGGCGAGAGTCGGGCACAGTAACCCGAAAAGGTTGTACATGACGATTAGCAAGGCAATAGTAGATCAGTCAGCTCTCTCTCTCTATATATATATCTGGAGCATCAACTTCAGTCATTCGGCTTATGAGAAAAATGAAGCCAAAATGGCGACCATTGACGTCCAATAGCTCTGAAGCTCGTAAACAGTTTTAATACCATTTTCCCAGCTAATTCCTATCGCTAATCAAGTTATAAATTTATAAAATCATAGTATTTTCTTTAAATCGAAGTTAGAATACGAAATTTCGGCACACTCCTTGCAGACCGCGGACAAAAATAGGAAGGAAGTGAAAATTACGTCTAATACGATATAATCTTTGGCTTCATTTTTTGGACTCGAGTTCTCACTCTAGATATATATATATATATATATATATATATATATATATATATATATATATATATATATATATATATATATATATATATACGGACAAAAATAGGAAGGAAGTGAAAATTACGTCTAATACGATATAATCTTTGGCTTCATTTTTTGGACTCGAGTTCTCACTCTAGATATATATATATATATATATATATATATATATATATATATATATATATATATATATATATATATGAGTTCAGTGTAGTAGATGCTTAGAGCTTAAATTGTTGAGTATCGGTGGCTTTCAGTAAGCGTTTCAAGCAACTGGATGGTGGTGAACATAAAAAACATCGCCAAGGATGAATATTATTTTCTCACTCTGATAACTGTAGGTTGATCATCATCTGAGTTACGATAATGCTCAGTGAAACCCACCTTGTAGCAAATAAGAATTTATTTATGTAATAAGTTATTCAATGTACACTAAAAATACGAGGCCTGGCATGAGAAATTAACGCTAGCCTTTATATAAGATGAAGTATATTGACACTGTTATCCACTGACCTGTATGACCGTAGGTATAGAGATTTTATGTGGACATGCGCACTGGATACACTTCGCGTCAACTACTTGTTTTCCGGGGGTGTCTATGTAGCAATCGGAATGCTAAGAGTCTGGGGGTAATAAAAAATAATTTATAATAGTAATTAAAAATAGTCAGAAATAGTTTTGCGACATAGCAAATATGAGTTAAACTTTTTTTATACTACTCGACGAAATCAACACTTATGGATAATTAGGTACATGTACTACTAGATACTTTTCTATATAATCTATAATCTGTACAGCGTGTGTCAATAGACAACATATATTGTATGTATGTAAGAAGTGTATTCTGTAAGGAAATAAATTGTAAAGACTTCAGTCTCTCTTGTCTTGAAAAAGGCATTAATGTGATGAATGTGATGCAAGGCGTTGCGGTTGTTGTTGTTTGTTTGTTGTTGTTGCTTTTTATGTTGTTGTCTGTTGTTGTTGTCGTTATTGTTGTCTCTCTTGTCTTGAAAAAGGCATTAATGTGATGAATGTGATGCAAGGCGTTGCGGTTGTTGTTGTTTGTTTGCTGTTGTTGCTTTTTATGTTGTTGTCTGTTGTTGTTGTCGTTATTGTGTGGTGTTGTTGTTTTTTGTTGTTGTTGTTTGTTTGTTGTTGTTTGTTGTTGTTGTTGTTGTTGTTGTTGTTGTTGTTGTTGTCGTTGTTGTTGTTGTTGTTGTTGTTGTTGTTGTTGTTGTTGTTGTTGTTGTTGTTGTTGTTGTTGTTGTTGTTGTTGTTGTTGTTGTTGTTGTTGTTGTTGTTGTTGTTGTTGTTGTTGCTGTTGTTGGTGTTGGTGTTGCTGTTGTTGGTGTTGTTGCTGTTGTTGTTGTCGTAGTTGCTGTTGCTGTCGTTTCTGTTGTTGCTGCTATTGATGATAAGGTTTGTTTTTTCTTGGTATTGTTGTTTCTTTATTAAAGATCTATGCTTTTCTATTTTCCAGTTGGTATTTGAAGCTAGGATAGCCAATGGGGATTATTCAGATATAGCCCTGGACGATCTATTCTTCGACGACGGCAGTTGTGGCAAGTACCACGTTCTTACTATAAAACTAGTGTTTAATCTGTTATTAAGGAATTAAAGTTTTCGATGGTTTTTCCCTATTTATATACATCGTTAACAGAAATTATTTTTTGTATTAGATTGTCAAAACAGCTATAGAAATTGCGATAAGTGGGCTGAAAGAAAAGACTGTGTCGCATCGTATGATTTTATGATGCAAAGTTGCAAAAAGTCTTGTGATTTTTGCAGTAAGTAAAACCTATTATTATATAAACATAAGTGTTACAAAAAGTTTTTGGCCACTGATTTAAACACAGGTAAAAAATACGATATTTTTACGTGTGAAAATATCATTTGTTGTAAAACGCATTGCCACGGACGTTTTATTGTTTTTCACTGAATTTTGTTTATATAATAAACAGAAAAATACATGGGAGCTTGGAAATACCAGATTTATTTCTCGTGTTCAACATGATATCTCACTCGTGATATATCATGTTCAACACTCGAAATAAATCTGGTATTTCCAAGCTCCCATGTATTATTCTCTATTTATAGTATCTCTGCACACACGCAAAAATCTCACATCTTGTAGCAAGTCTGCCAACAAGCCGTCAACAAGTTGTGTTCGCACTGCTTGTTCCAAGTTGTCAATAAGTTTGAAACAAGCTGTTAACAACTTGTAACAACCTTGTTGATATCATCAGACTTGTTGCAAAGTTGTTCCAACAAGTCCGATACAGTCATGATATAACAATATTGTTACAACCTTGTGTGGTCAACCTTGTAACATTCTTGTTACATCAGGACTGTATCAGACTTGTTAGAACAACCTTGTAACAAGTCCGATAATATCATCAACTTGTTACAAGGTATCCGTGTGGTATCGGAAATATAAACCTTCAGCTCGAGTTGGTATATCCGATACAACACGGCCGCTCATGTTAACATATATTCACATTCGTCAATGGATCTAGCTATTACCTAATGAACAAAATTTTGATCTAGACAATTCTAGACACAAACTTCATCACAGCTTGAAAGAGCATCACAAAATTAGTAATATTCTGAAGTTTCGTTGCGAAATGTTGTAAAATGCGGATAATATAGCCCTGCGAAGTTTGCCGCTTTTCAGTCATTTTGTATTACGCACGGGAAATTGATACCGCTTTCTGTAAAAAGGTATCAATTTCCCGTGCGTAATACAAAATGACTGTAAAACGGCAAACTTCGCAGGGCTATAGTATCCGCGTTTTACAACATTTCGCAACGAAACGTTGGAGTACTACTAAATTTGTGATGCTTTTTCAAGCTGTGATGAAATAGGTGTCTAGAATTGTTTAGATCAAAATTTTGTTCATTATAGGTAATAGCTAGGCCCATTACGTTTGTCCGTTTGTTATTTTTAGCATGCGTTGATAAGCGTTCGGATTGTAAACAATGGGTTAAAACGGAATGTGGAAGAAACTCTCAATTTTACGACTGGATGGATGTGATGTGTCCTGTTACATGTCGAAGATGTGGTTAGTGATTCCCTTTACAACACTTGTATTGTATATTTGTATTTGATTTAAAGTGGCACTCGCGTCAACATTTTTATTTTCTTAAACGAAGATGCTCTTAAAACTGTATAGTAACTTGTTTTGAAGATTTTTGTTCCCAAGCTTAGTTCTTAAGATCTTTTATCTTGTTTGTAACCATGTGACGTCAATAACGCAATTGCATATATAATGAGATCTCAGTAATTGTTGTGTATCTTTGCTATTTTTTATCAATATTTTTCAAAGATGCTGCTCGTTAAGTGTCATTAAAAACCAATTAACAATAAATAATGGTATAAATTAAATGGTATAATTGTTTTCCATGTCTTTGTTTAGTTTTGGCTATTTCAGATATATTCATTTTTTCTAATCGTACCCGCTTTGACGTCGTTTCGGGTAGGATTACAACTAATTCTACCTGACATGACGTAAAAGCGGGTAGGATTAGAAAAAATGAATATAATGAGGTGTATTAGTTATTAATTGCCCTGCGAGAACAAAGGGAATACCCGCAATCATGATATTACTTTCTTAACTGTGTTAATCCTAACCCACCCTGTCAACTTTCCCTGTGGGAGGAAACCGGAGCACTCGGAGAAAACACACGACTTTCGGCAGAGCATTGACTGACTCTTTTCACATGAGTCCGTAGCGAGAATCGAAGCCACCATCTCTGAGGTTCAAGGCGCTTGCTTTGACGAGGGTTGTTTCTAAGTTAACCAGAAAAACTCTAACGGGAGAGTTTCTAGAGTGTATATAATTTCTTTATTCAGTTTGCCACGATGAGAATCTTAAATGTGCGGAGTGGAAAAATAATAACCAATGTGAAGACTATCCAGTTTACATGAAGAAACACTGCAGAAGATCTTGTGGTTTATGCACAGTGCCGGTAAGCACTTGATATATTCTACTATACATATATTTAAAAAACGCATTAATAATTCATGAGGAAAACAGAAAGAAAAATTATAAGTGTGTCGTATCTTTATATGTGATTCCCCTTGATTCACATAAGCCAATGAACAAAAAATTACTAAGAAAGATCGATCGTTTTGAAGCAATTTAAAACATTCGCAGTGCGTGTTTTATCAGACCTAAAGATGCTCGGCTTCGCCTCGTATCTTTACATCAGACAACACTGCTGCTCATGCATGTTAAATAGTGCATACATACAGAAACCAAGGCAGCTCATGTCATCAAGCCTGATAAAATATAAATTAATATCAATTTCATTATTAACTAAAGTTTCCACACTTAGTTTATATTCCATTATTTTTTATGCTACAGGAAAGGCTTGGATAACAATTAATAACCCAGATTTATAAATCATATTGAAATGGACAAAATAAATCCTCGGTTGTTCCATAGATATCTTATATACACTAGATAGCGCATCTCTTTTAGTAAAATTGAAGCCAAGAATATTCCAGCGGTTACCCCCATTTAAATAGATGGCGGCCATATTGGAGTTTCCCACTCGCTAATAAACGCTTAAAAAACAACAATAACTTTCATCATTTGAATGGTTTGAAAATGTATTTGGAATAGGTTTAACTTAATGTTTAAGTTGTTTAAGAAATAGAAAACTTACGAGTCTTCTCATTTCGTGGGAATATCTTGAGTCTGCAATCACGGCTTCAATTTTTGAATTGCAGAATAATTAGATGCACTATCTGACTTTTTCTAGTGTATATATAAAGATATCTATGGGTTGTTCCCGCAATTTTTGTAAAATAGATATACGTAAAATCATATATATTAAACTATACTAATAAAGTGGATAAAATTCATGATTGCTTTTAACTAAGTAAAATACTTATAAAATTATTTAAATTTGTTAAAAACTTTCATTTTAGTTTCTCTTATTTAACTTAACTACTTGTTGTATTTAATTCACAATCTTGTATTAAAATAAAGACGAATTAAGCAATTAAAATGACTACAATGTGAAAAAACTCGCTCAAAAACCCGTTTCCAAACTCATTTTCCTTACGATTGCATGTGTACCTGTTGATTTACTATGAATATACTGATGATAAGATGAGTCACCAAAATGTAAATTATTTCAAGATAAAATCGGAAAAGTTATAATATTATACAGTAGTTTAACTCATTATTATTTAAATTTAAATTCAAAGCAAAACAAATGGCGCGACAATTATTGACCGAGCCCACGATGCAATTCCGTGAAAGGTCAGCGGTTTTCTCGTCAGCACTTCGTTTAAGGTATAAATTAAAACAGTTTTTGTATAAATAGTATAAATAGTATAAATTAAAACAGTTATACATATTGTATGGTTCGAAACAGGCTAACTTTATACTGGATATCTCAATATCGCTTATTGATGCAGTATTACTACAGGGGAAATTTAAAATAATTTACTTAGTATGGGAAAATACTCTAAATTGGCAAGTTTTGACAATCAGGGGTCAAATTTTCACTACCTGTGTAAAATTGCTTGTAAAATCGACTAGAAAACTACGGATATGGGCCTCACAATTAATAAAAAGAAACTTTAATATACAAATACTGAAGTTTAATCTGTTTGTTGTTTTTTTTACTTAAAAAAACACCATCCGGTTAGATAGCGCTATCCGGCCCTGATACAACCGGCCCCATAGCGTTTTTCAATAAAAATCCTAAAAAGTTTTTAATCTTAAATTGAACGCCATTTCTTCCATATTTCATATTACAAGGTGGAACGTTGCACTTTTACTAACATCGACGTGCTTTTTTCATTTTGAAACAGCACTCGTCCCAAGCGAAATGAGCTCACGTGACCAATTGGTGCAAAAGGCCCATTGTGTATTTAAGAGTTTTACTTTTAGCTTTTCTTCAATATCTATCTGCTACACACGTAAAAACGCACAAGTTGTTACAGGTCTGGAAACAAGTTGTTACAAATCTGTTCACAAGCTGTCGACAAGTTGTGTTCGCACTGCTTGTTCCCAGTTGTTGTAACAAGTTTGGAACAAGCTGTTAACAACTTGTAACGAGCTTGACGGCATTATCAGACTTGTTACAAGGTTGCTCTGACAAGTCTGATACAGTCATGATATAACAAGATTGTTACATAATTATAACAAGATTGGTTGACGACACAAGGCTGCAACAATATTGTTATATCATGACTGTATCGGAGTTGTTGGAACAACTTTGCAACAAGTCTGATAATATCAACAAGGTTGTTACAAGTTGTTAACAGCTTGTTCCAAACTTGTTGACAACTTGTTGACGCCTAGTTGGCAGACTTGCTACAAGACATGAGATTTTCGTGAGAGAGAATTTGGTTATTAGTGGCCTTTATCACAGAGTATAAATACCATACAAGGGTCTCACTTCTATTCTTATTAATTTCAGCGCAAGGAATTTTTCCAGTCCGCCATGTTCTTAACAAGTGCCCTAAAAAGAGGCTGTCACCCCCCTGAAAACATATTGAAATTTAATGCTTCAGGGGGGTGAATGCCTCTCTTTTGGGCTCTTGCTAAGAGCATGGCCGCCAGATATGCGCAGTAAAAACCATGGAACTGTAAATAAACTGGAAGGCTAACTGCTATGACGAAGGCTTATAATTTGATGAGGCAAAAATAGTTTTGAGCAGAAATACTTGACCCCAAACGTTGGGCTACATATCAAATTGAAGCTATTGAAAATTGCTATTCGTTGTGGAAATTTCAAGACTTCAGCGAAAAGAAAAATATTTTAAAAATACAAAAACAACTGCAAAATGGCAAGTTATCAGCAATTGTTTTTGTAGTTTTTCAATATTTCCCTTTTAGCTAAAGTCATGAAATTTCTACACCAAATAGCGTTTTGCAATAGCTTCAATTTGATATATAGCCCTACGTTCAGTGTTGAGTATTTCTGCTCATAACTCAGAAAAACTAAAATGCACCGGCTTCAATTCCCCCCGAGTTAGCCTTCCAGTTTATTTACATTTCAATGGTAAAAGCTAGCTTTTTCTTACGAAGTGAGACTCCTCTGCATGGTTAGTACAGTGTACCTCTATTCCGGCTTCTGAAATTTGCCAGTGAATAATTAATGATTGAACTATCTCGTGTTTAAAACGATCTAAAACTCATTAGAAGAGCTGTATATCTATCAATTCACGTAGAAGAAGATACTTAATGAAGATGGTATAACTAATTTAAACACATAAAGATTTCCTTTTAAAACGTAGGGTCAAGGATAAGCGTATGTAATTCAGATACTAAATGCAACAAACCACGACAGCTTAAATAAACCTGCCGCCAACCTTGGAAGTTCTAAAAACGTGAGATCTTTATCCCCCCCCTTCCCCCAAAAAAAAAAAGCTGACACAAGCCCAATAAAATCAGAGAGCTTTTTCATGTCCCTAACCTAATGCAAATAAGCTCAAAACAATGAGTCTGTGTAATATTCATTAGATTTGGTGCAAGGTTAATTAAACAAGGTGTTAGAGCGAGATAATTTATCCCGAGACTTTGTTTCAAGTTATAGAAGAAAAGCTTTGCAGCCCTAGGATTAAAAACACCATGATTCTTTTAATAAAGATAACAAGTGTATAAGCAGTTATAAAATTTTAATATCTTGCAATCTCCGACTTTAAAGGGCATATGACTCGAAAATTGACGGTGTTATTTTTAGTCTAATTTGAAAGATCATTGAAGACTGTTGAGTAACTTCTTCGACAGATTTCCGTTTTCTTGCTTCGTTTTGGATATAATTCATTTTGTATGATATTTCATTTTGTATGATAATCAAAGGACCAACTTTCTACGATTGTGTTTAGTGATAGTTGTATTAAAGATGCACAACTTTTATGGCTAAATCATTATGCATGCGTGACGTAGGAAGTTGATCCTTTGCATATATTATACAAAAATCTATCAAAGAAGTAATTCTACAGTTTTGAATGATCTTTCACATTAGACAAAAGTAACACCGTCATTTTTCAAGTCATACGTCTTTTAAAAATCGTGTGAAATGGACAGTACATCGTGGGAACTTAAGACTTAATGAAATCTTGTATCACGATAAAACCGTAAGAGTTGGCGGATCTGGCTTGAACTTCATTCTTCATCAAAATTTGTACAAATTTGGAAGTATTTTTAGAACAAACAAGTTTTCTACGGTCCACAGGCGTTCCTTGTCGTAACCTGTTAATTATAGCTGGACTCCTCTTGTCACGTTACGAAACACCCTATGAAAAACCCTTTTATTATAAACCCATGGCTATGTTGCCAGGGATATTAAAGAAAATTGAAAATGGAATTACCTAAGACAAAATCAGTTATTGCCAACGATATATTGTTCGTCGTTTTAGTTTGTAGTCTAATTCTTTTTGTCAACAGCAACTCGGTGAAATTTGAAGATGAAAATAATCCCCATGAGTTCGACGAAAATACAAGCAGTAAAACAGGTAAAGATTCGTATAGTTAAAGAGATTTGTAGACGGAAATTTCAATTGGTACAGATGTAAAAATCTTATATAAGGGTCATCTAGTTCGATCTAAACTGTCTAAGGAAAAAGATGCAGTCGGGAGCATGTTTAACGCCCGTATTCTAAAAGCTCACTCACACTCAATGAGTGGAGATTCAATCTAAGCTTCTCTTGAGTGTCAGTGCTGTTTTGAATAGCTGAAGCGTTAGTGTCGTACCTAACTATGTGACTGCTAGCTCTCCAGCTATTCAAAAACAGCACTGACATTCGAGAGAAGCTCAAATGAACCTCCTAGTTCAAGTTCAATTTATTTCACATTATTTGGCAAAAATATAATCATTGGAAGAGATACTCATGCATAATGTATATTCGGTATAAAGACATTAAAACGTTTTAAATTATGATATTGAAATTGTGCACGGTGACCAAAGTAGCATAAGCTTTCGAGTTGGCCACCGTCTACTCTTGATTTATTAGGTAAATTTATGAGCTAATTGCATATATCTCATTACTATTTGGATTTTACAGTAAATAAATTGAACTCTTGGTCGAAAGAAAAGAAAGAAAAGTAGCAAAGAAAGTTAGCATAATACACAACTATTTTTTTATTAACTTAATCATTAATTAAGTAGTTACTGTAGTTCATTTGTTTAACCAATCCATTGAGGCATAAAATAAATCGAGTTAACATTCCCAATTTAACTATAAGGGTTATTAATTTGGTTTGACAGTAAATTTACTTTATACTGTCTTTTAAAATTGCTGGTCGTTGGTAATTTTTTTAACGAAACTGTAATGTTCTCCCATAACACTGACGTAGAGTACTTGAAAGTAAATTTTCCAAAATTTGTTCTTATTTTTGGCCGATAAAAGTTGCATCTAGCTACGCGCCTTGTATTGTAACTATAAATATTTTTCACAGGCATTAAAAAGTTATGAAATAATGAGGGAACGCTTGAAGGGTTGACAAACAATTTATGTGTTAATATAGCAGTTTTTAATTTGACAATATTTTCAAATTTTAATATTTCAAGTAATTGATCGTTGAGTGCATGTGAGTGTGAGTACGTAGCTTTTAGAATACGGGCGTAAGTGTGGAAGAAGAAAATGTAAAGTTTGTGATAATGTTTTGGTTGGCTCATCTTTTGAGAGTCATGTTGAGGGTAGAAAATTTCACATTAATTATCGCTTCGACTGCAATTCAGAGGGGGTGGTTTATTTAGTTACTTGTAAGGCATGTATAAGATGCAATATGTGGGCTGTACTATTACGTCGTTTAGATTGAGATTCAACAATCACAAAAGCTCTCTAAATAGGTATGGGCAAGGTATAAGAAATAGTGGTCGGCACTCGTATGAGCATTTTTTCGGGGAGGGGCATTCGGGTTTAAGTGACTTTAGGGTTCAAATTATTGATAGTACTGATGTTATCAATCCTACGGAAATGGAAAGTTATTGGATAGAGAAAATCAATTGTTATTGTCCTTTGGAATTAAACATGAGGGAGGAAAGTAATTACTAGTTTAACTTATGTATTAAATGTTAAGTATAGAGGACTATAAAAACTGTGGACAAGGCTTTTTAAGGTAATTTTATCGTTTCTGAAGAAGGGGCTTGCCCCGAAACGTTAAATATATATTTTTTCTATATTTTTTTGGCTGGTTTTTTTTTAAAATTGATGCTATCGTATATTTGCAGGAAATTCCCATCTCAGTGCGATGGACCTGATTTTAGCAATCAACAGAAATACCCCGGTCAAAAGAACTTTACATAAAAAGAACGCGATCGATGGAGAAATGGCAAAGCGAATGAACATAACAAAGTTTTCAAATGGAACAATGGTCATTACTAACACAACGGAAGTCCTGAACGTCACAGACATGATATTACAAGAAAATATAGGTAGGAAATCTGCGCTTGGTTGATGCAGGTCAGGTTCCGTTTGCACCACCCGAAAATGTGCCCGGAAAAGAGCCTGCGGAGGAGGTAGCCCCGTTTACATGAGAACGGGACGAACTCAAACTGGAACGACATGGCCTGTATAGTATATTAGTTTAAAAGATGTGTAATTTTTACTCCAGATTTCCATCTTCAAAAAGCACTTTTATACAGGCCTTAAAATATCGGTCGGTCACGGACATTGTCCGACCAATTTGTGAAATTGTCCGACGTAGAGAGGAAACCACCGGACATTCTGTCCGACCTAAGTGAAACTGAGGTTTATTGTTTGTCCGACCTAAGTGTATTTGTGTCCAACGTAACTGCAGCTTTGTCCAACGTAAATCAAAATGTACCCATAGCCCAGGACTAGAGGCTTTTATGTTAAATGGAAAATCAGAGTAGTATTGTATAAAAGGTGAACTGGGAATGTTTAAACGTAGTCGAGGGTGGGGCGGCGAGCGAAATGGTGAAGTGGAAAACGAGCTTAAGTTGTCGAAGTCTTTTTTAATACTGCTGTTCTGGCAAACAAGTTACTTTTGGCTTGGAAATAAGTATGAAAGAAACAAATTATTTAATATCTTCACAACATTTACCGTTCAGAATTAATACATTGTGCTGATATTCATTTGTGTCATTCAGACTTATTTCCAAGTCAAAACTGAACTGAAGGTCACCGGACATATGTCCGACCGAAACTCAACGTCTTCGGACATTTTGTCAAACGGTCCTGTAAAAGATATTTTAAGGCCTGACTTTTATATGTTTATCTATATATTTACCTCATTCAAATTTCAGAGGAAAAAGTTGCTGACCACCTTCTGGAAGGGGACATATTGTTAGATCCGATGGACCCTGAGGATTATAAAATATTTAAATTGATCAAGGAGGACAAGAAGCGGCTAGCTGAGAACAGATTACAAAAACGTCAAGCCACTCGGGCATTAAAACATTTGTGGACCAGTAGAGTTGTACCGTATGAAATAGATTGGTCTTTAAGTAAGTGTCGAGCTGTACGTATTAAGAGGTGCATTAGAGGTGTCCGTATTAGAGATGTGTCAGTATTAGAAAGGTGCTTGATTTAGACAGGTGTCCGTATTAGAGAGCTGTTCTCATTAGAGAGGTAACCGTATTAGAGAGGTACCCGTGTTACAGAGGTGTTCATACTAGAGAGATGTCCATATAGGTGTCCGTATCAGAGAGATGTCGGTATTAGAGAAGTGTCCGTATTAGTGAGGTGTCTGTATTAGAGAGGTATCCGTATTAGACAGGTGTCTGTATTAGAGTTGTGTCTGTGTTAGAGAGGTGTCAGTTTAGAGAGATGACTGTATTAGAGACATGTCCACATTGAAGAGATATCCGTGTTAGAGAGAGGTTTGTATTAGAGAGGTGTCAGTATTGGAGAGGTGTTCGTATTAGAGAGGTATCCGTATTAGAGAGATGTCCGTATTAGAGAGATGTCTGTATTAGAGAGGTATCTGTATTAGAGACGTGTCTGTATTAGAGAGGTATCTGTATTAGAGAGGTGTCTGTATTAGAAGGATGAAACACATTAGAGAGATGTCCGTAAAAAGAGGTGTACGCGTTATAAAAATATTTGTACAGAGAAGCCCAACTGTATATTTGTTTAATTGTGCTCTTGTGTGACAATTGAGTTCGTATTTGCTGATTGTATCTTATGTCCTAGGCGACTACAAGACCAGCAAGCTTATAAAGGACACCATAGCTCTCTTCAACACGAAATCTTGTGTGAAGTTTATGCCGCGCCAAAGGACTGAACGAGATTGGGTGGTTTTCATAAAAAACGATGGGTACGTATTGTCATAATTCTTCTACTTAGCACCCTAGCTCTCAAATACGCAATAACGGCGATATCAACAAAAACAACAGTCATAACAAAAACAACATCGCAAACAGAAACAACAACGGCAGTAAGAACAATAGCAACAGCAACTACAGCAAAAGATACAACAACAGAAGCAACAACCATAACAACAGAAACAGCAACAACAACAATAACAACAGCAGCAACAGAAACAACAACAATAACAATATCAACAGAAACAACAATAACAACAACAGCAACAGCAACTACAGCAAAAGATACAACAACAGAAGCAACAACCATAACAACAGAAACAGCAACAACAACAATAACAACAGCAGCAACAGAAACAACAACAATAACAATATCAACAGAAACAACAATAACAACAACAACAACAACAGAAGCAGCAACCATAACAACACAATAACAACAACAACAGTAACAACAACTAGAAACAACAACTATAACAATATAAACAACAACAATAACAACAACAATAACAACAGCAACAACAATAACAATAACAATAACAACAACAACAGTAACAACAACAACAACAACAACAGTAAATAACAATAACAATAACAATAACAATAACAACAGCAGCAACAACAACAATAACAACAGAGACAGCAACAACAATAACAACCGCACCACAAGCATCATATTCACCTGAGTACATTACACCAACACAGAAAAAATCATGATTATTAGATTACATTGATATCGAAGGAACTAGAATCAGTTCCGAAATATCACATACTCGAACCAACCTGACCACGTAGCTCAGTTGGCAGAGCATCGGGCTAGTATTCCACAGTCACAGGTTCGATTCCCACCGTGGCCAGGCATATTTTTCAAGATTGCCCGGTGTGGATATACACTCAGAGTAACATCACAAGCATCATATTCACCCGAGTACATTACACCAACACAGAAAAAAACCCCAAAAAGAACAACAACAGAAACAACAATGACAACAAAACACTTTAAGCTCTGTCCTCACGAGCAAATTGTGTTACATTTGCCGATGAAAAATACATTTGCCACAAAACCTAGCACGCCAATACATAAAATTTGAGCAAATTCTCTCAAGTAACACAAGCAAACATAAATTGTCATAGAAAAATTGTCACGTATGGACGATCTGGATGATCTGTATAGAAATTGACAAATTTCTCTAATCATTAATAGGTGTTGGTCCAGTATAGGGAGGTCATATGTCCGCCCTGGTTTTCAGCAAATTTCGATTGATGGGGCATGCAAACATCCGTCGGTAATTTTGCATGAAATGCTGCATTGTGTAGGTATGAAATCAACAAGATAAACCCCTTTACAGGTTGGGCAGGTTTGGTCAATTTTGGGCTAGCATTTGGTAAGCACGACGGCACATGCGAACTGAAATGTCATTTCGCATGTGAAGTCATACATACAAGATTCTCGCCCAACATTAACTAAACTTGCCAAAGCCAGCCAGGTAAAGTCTAGGTCTAGACCGAATGGGTAAAAATCAAGATTTTGTTGGCATCTCAGATGGAAATTATTGAGTGGAATTTTATATACATTCATTACACCTAACCAGGAACAGTTGCGAAAAATGCAACTATAGGTCCCTGGCAGGAATCAAACCTGCAGCCCTGCGATTCCGGTGCAGCGCTCTAACCAACTGAGCTACAGAGGTCAGTTGTCGAGCTCTAACCAACTGAGCTACAGAGAGACAGTTGTCGAGCTCTAACCAACTGAGCTACAGAGAGACGGTTGTTGAGCTCTAACCAACTGAGCTACAGAGAGACGGTTGTTGAGATCTAACCAACTGAACTACAGAGAGACAGTTGTCGAGCTCTAACCAACTGAGCTACAGAGAGACAGTTGTCGAGCTCTAACCAACTGAGCTACAGAGAGACGGTTGTTGAGATCTAACCAACTGAGCTACAGAGAGACGGTTGTTGAGATCTAACCAACTGAACTACAGAGAGACGGTTGTTGAGATCTAACCAACTGAGCTACAGAGAGACAGTTGTTGAGATCTAACCAACTGAGTTACAGAGAGACAGTTGTCAAGCTCTAACCAACTGAGCTACAGAGAGACAGTTGTCGAGCTCTAACCAACTGAGCTACAGAGACACAGTTGTCGAGCTCCAACCAACTGAGCTACAGAGAGACAGTTGTCGAGCTCTAACCAACTGAGCTACAGAGAGACAGTTGTCGAGCTCTAACCAACTGAGCTACAGAGAGACAGTTGTGGAGCTCTAACCAACTGAGCTACAGAGGGCAGTTGTCAAGCTCTAACCAACTGAGCTACAGAGGACAGTTGTCAAGCTCTAACCAACTGAGCTACAGAGAGACAGTTGTCGAGCTCTAACCAACTGAGCTACAGAGAGACAGTTGTCGAGCTCTAACCAACTGAGCTACAGAGAGACAGTTGTCGAGCTCTAACCACAAATACTATCCTCTAATAATCTAACCGAAAATAACTAACCAAATAACCAAAATCTAACCGCTAATGCTATCAGTTTAGAACTGATAGAGATTTCCAGTTTAAGGAAAGTTAGCTTAGTTTATCGGACCAAGGTCGCTGATAATTATTTAAGAATTGCTTTATATAGTTTCTCTATCTTCTCATATATTCTATTTTTTCTCCAGTACCAGCTGTCTATCCTTCCAACTTTTCTGTCACCGCACTCAACACCAGGACCCTGACCGTGTCATGGAGCAATATCGACGAGGACTTGTGGCAAGGCATGCCACTGGGATACGTGATCTATTGTAACCACAGCAACGACCAACGTAATTTCACTGTGACTTTTTCCACCCAGGGGATTGTGATAACTAACTTGACTGGATTTACATTCTATGATCTAACCATGGCCGGGTACACGAGGAAAGGCCTGGGACCAAAGCATCCAATGGTCACCGTACGAACTCCAGAAGATGGTAACGTTAGCGCGTTTTCTACATTAGCGCGTTTTCTCAGCAATATCTGATTTAACTTTTTTCTTTTTTTCTTTATAACTTTATTGGGAATATTAACAATAACATTAAATAATTGCCCAAAAGGAAAAGTGCGAACGAGTGAAAAAACCCATGCAAGGCACTCCCCTTATAAACTTTACAATTATATTTACATTACACTATAAATTATAGTTGAGGTAAAGCTCGATTTGCGCATACTCACAAACTGATCTCTCAAATACGTAAAAGGCAGGTTTTGGAAAGGTTGTATAGAAAATAAAGCTAACTTGGTTTTTGCTGTGTTGGTGTAATGTACTCAGGTGAATAAGATGCTTATGTGATGTTACTCTGAGTGTATATCCACACCGGGCAGGCTTGAAAAACATGCCTGGCCACGGTGGGATTCGAACCTTCGACCTTTGGAAGCCCAATGCTCTGCCAACTGAGCTACGCGGTCAGAAACATTCGCTTTGTTTTTTAGTCCCAGACATGATAAACCTCAACGCAAGAGTTCAAAATGTTGATTTACAATCCGTGCTGGTCGAGTGGGATCTTCTACCAAGATATTACTGGAACGGCCCTGAACCAAGCTATGTTGTTTTATTTCAAGATATTGCACGTGACATAAACATCAGTGTCCAGATCCCGCCAGGGGCAGTCCAACTTAATTATACGCAACTGAAACATTTTACAAACTATAGTGTTTCATTAATGGCGCTGAACCGTGTTGGAGCCAGTTCACCTACTGAGGCTGGTGTCATCAAAACCTTGGAACATGGTGAGTTTTGAGTTGCTTGTATGAAGGCAAGCTGCTGGTTACCGAAATGCGGCGTTTGTTAGAATTTCCTGTTAAATTCCATCCTAATTTTGTTGTATGTTTGCATGGGATAAATATAATGCGCACTTGGAAAACCAGCTGAATGCCGTTCTTTCAACTTAAGCTGCTGCTCCTAATCTGTCCTATATTATATAATTATGTAAAAAGTGCTGTAGTCCTTGTCTTCAATTTATGTCTACTTGGCTTATGTCAGGTTGGTCCTCATATCATGTCCTGTTGACTCTGCCTTCAACCATATTTAGACTAAGTGTTGCTCAGTTTTTTCAAAACGTTTATTTGTAATAATTTCATAGTACTTTTGTATGGTTGTAAAGTTAATATACGCAGCAGATAAATAAATAAATAAATAATTATTTGTTTTCTCCAGTGCCAGCCGTATATCCATCCAATTTTTCTGTCACCGCACTCAACACCAGTGCCCTGACCGTGTCATGGAGCCACATCGATGAAGACTTATGGCAAGGCGTTCCACTGGGGTACGTGATCTATTGTAACCATAGCAACGACCAACGTAATTTCAGTGTGATGTTATCGAGCGAGGAGATTATGATAACCAATCTAACCGTATTTGCATTCTATGACTTGACCATGGCCGGGTACACTAGAAAAGGACTCGGACCGAAATATCCAATGGTCACCGTTCGAACGCACGAAGAAGGTAACGTTCGCACTTTTCTACGTTAGCACGTTTTCTATGTTAGCACGTTCTCTCTGCACCAACGATTCACGCTCGCTTTGGTTGAACATTAGATTTATCTCATGTCTGGCTTCAATTTGGTCACAGCTATCCCGACCTGGGCTACAGGCACTCTGGTAGGAATTGAACCTGCGATAACGATGCAGTGCTTTTAACCAACTGAGCTACGGAGTGGTTAGAGGAACTTAGAGCGCTGCACAGGAATCGTAGGGCTCAGGTTGGATTAACACTCGAAGTTTCCAATCTCCAAAGTACAGATCGGAACACTTAGTGAAACGAATCTATATTTTGCCTTTTTCTTTTCAGTCCCTCGTATTCCCCCAATCAACCTCCGACTCCATGATGAGCCGACCAACGATATCCCTAGTAATACCAGCACCACACCTTCAATCCTCGCATCGTACTCGACAACCCTTGAGTGGGATCCAGTCCCCGCCGACGAAGTACGCGGTATTATCCGAGGCTATACTGTCACCTACCAGCCTGTTGAAGTCTACTACATAACGCGGGCTCGAAGGTCCGTAGCAGATCTTACGCATGTGGTGAACACGAGCTCAACCAGTGTCGAACTTGATGATCTGTTGTTTTATACAAACTACAGTGCGCATGTGCAAGCTTATACTGTTGATAATGGAGTGCCTAGTTCAGAGTTTCATTTCATGACACCCGAGGGAGGTAAGGTGCATGCACATTTTTCATTTGAGATTGTCATCCTGGTGTATGGAATTACATAGACAGACAGATATAGCAGTGGCGAAGGTAGCCATGGCAACTGGTCATAAGGCTAATTAACCCGCATCTAAATAGGGCAAATACAATACATTTCTAAAGGCATGACCTGTTGCTATGACTAGCTTCACCATTGAGCTAGACATGTCGCCATGATTTACGCGAGAAACGGCTCATCCGTCAAGACACATCATCCGTCTAATGCATCATTCTTTTACAGTGCGAACGAACTATCCTGACAAACTAGAGCTAAAATAGGATATCAATTTCTTAACTATGTTTATCCTAATTCACCCTGTCAACTTCCCCTGTGGGAGAAAACCGGAATGCGCGGAGAAAACCGGAATGCGCGGAGAAAACCGGAATGCGCGGAGAAAACCCACGACGTTCGGTAGAGCGTTGAAAGGCTCTCTCCATAGCGAGAATCGAAGCCACGATCTCAGTGGTGAAAGGCGCTTGCTCTGCGTCATTGTAGCCCCTGATCCAGTGTTACTACAGAGAGAATCTTCAACTGCAAGCACTCTTCTGACATGCAACTGAGGTGGGATTCTAGTAAGAAGGTATTGCGTCATTGTAGCCCCTGATCCAGTGTTACTACAGAGAGAATCTTCTTGAGGTGGGATTCTAGTAAGAAGGTATTGCGCCATTGAAGCCCCTGATCCAGTGTTACTACAGGGAGAATCTTCTAACTGCAAACATTCTTCTGACATGCAACTTGAAGTGAGATTCTAGTAAGAAAGTTTTGCGCCATTGAAGCCCCTGATTCAGTGTTACTACAGGGAGAATCTTCCAGTTTACAACTGCAAGCATTGAGGTGAGATTCTTGTAAGAAGGTATTGCGTCATTGAAGCCCCTGATCCAGTGTTACTACAGGGAGAATCTTCAACTGCAAACATTCTTTTGACATGCAACTGAAGTGAGATTCTAGTAAGAAAGTTTTGCGCCATTGAAGCCCCAGATCCAGTGTTACTATAGGGAGAATCTTCAACTGCAAACATTCTTTTGACATGCAACTGAGGTGAGATTCTTGTAAGAAGGTATTGCGTCATTGAAGCCCCTGATCCAGTGTTACTACAGGGAGAATCTTCAACTGCAAGCACTCTTCTGACATGCAACTGAGGTGGGATTCTAGTAAGAAGGTATTGCGTCATTGTAGCCCCTGATCCAGTGTTACTACAGGGAGAATCTTCAACTGCAAGCACTCTTCTGACATGCAACTGAGATTCTATGCCACCAACATATCTTTCTTATAATTCTCACAGTTCCCGGTGCAGGCCCTAAAAATCTTCACGCTAATAACGATGGTTGGAAATCAAAGTTATTTGTGAAATGGGACAGTGTAGTAGTTGATGCAAGGAATGGTATTTTACTGGGTTATAATGTCTACCACCTGGAATCGTCAGTCTCGGGTACCACAAAGAACGCATCTGTGACGGTGACCTATATAGTACTCACTGGACTAGAGACGTATACATCTTACGATATCCGTGTTTGTGGATTTACTGCTGTTGGTGAAGGTGTTTGTAGTGAAGTGACAGCAATGACACGCTCGCATGGTAAGTCTTCATTTCATTTTTATTTTATATTTTATTGAGGGAAGGTAAAATATCTTTACAAATAGTATTCTTCCGGATGGTTTATCCAGGATCCGTCAGTTTTAAACTGCTCTTCCTCCCTTATTGATCCAGTGTTCCTGTAGGAGGAAACCTAAATTAAACTTTATTTATACTGGATAGCTCAATCAGTTTTAGGAAACCTAAATTAAACTTTATTTATACTGGATAGTTCTATCAGTTTTAAACTTTTTTCTGGAGAATGTTGTAAGAATCTTCCATTGGTTATCCAGTGTTCCTATAGGAGGAAACCTAAACTAAACTAACTTTATTTATACTTACAATGAATTCTGTATTTCAGACATGGCACCTCACACCGCTCCTTGGAATGCCACAACCGTTCTCACCAGTCCTGTCTCGATATCTCTTCTCTGGGAACCATTCCCAGATTCTCTTTGGTTGGACTACCCACGTGGTTACCGCATTACATTCCAAAGGGTGGCATTGGGTGGAATTAGGACTTCCGGTGATGACGTCACAGTTGCGCGAGTTGACTACAAGACTAGAAGCTACTCGTGGATCAATCTTCAGTATTACACCAAGTACAAGATCGATATATCGACTATAACCTACCGCGGCTATGGGCCAAAGGTGGTTGTTTATGCAGGTAAAAACCAGAGTTCTTTTACCGTTCTGTTTAAACTGTTAAAGAGTCAATTTTATTTTATTTTATTTGGATGGAACCTCAGAAGGGGCATGGACACTGTGACACCAACACCTCAGTTTACTAGATCTATTGAAAGGGTTTGACATTTTATGCAGCTTTAATTGAATTGTTTACCTTCAGAGACGTGCGATTGTCCTACGGTAATGGCAAGCACATATCAACTTCTCCCGCCTTACGTCATGAAAACCTCGGATGGAAAACCCGGCGGCATCCTGCCTCAGATGATCCAGCGTATGACGTCATCGTGCTGTGGCACATGTTCTGGCACTGTCGTGGACTTCGATCAAGATGGCCTGGGGGAAATGGCGGAGAAAGATACCTACCCGGACCTTTTAAAAAGTCTTGACCAATCCACCTCGTTCGCGTTTCCAATCGTGGGGCTCGCAGGCACGAATAAATATAAGTCTCAGTTTGGTTTTATTCCCGCTGTCGAAGCTCCTGGCATGATAGTCATGGTTAAGAAGAAATCAGCGGAGAGTATAACTTTGACTGTGTTGTGGTCTGTGTTTGGAATTTGGCCTATACTGCTGATTAATGTAGTGCTGGCTCTTATCGCTGGGATCGTAATGTGGATGTTGGTAGGTAGAGAGATTATTCGTTTATTGAGAGAGTTATTTAATAGTATTATTAGTCTGATAATTAGTTAATTAGTTAGCTACTAGCTGGTTAGTTAGTTAGTTAGTTAGTTAGTTAGTTAGTTAGTTAGTTAGTTAGTTAGTTAGTTAGTAGTTAGTTAGTTAGTTAGTTAGTTAGTTAGTTAGTTAGTTAGTTAGTTAGTTAGTTAGTTAGTTAGTTAATAATCATCGTAACTCATGATTTATGTTTAAATGAAAGGACTCCAGTTCAAACGGAGATATTTTTCCAAGAACATGTATCCGTGGCTTTGCGGAGGGATTTTGGTGGGCCTTTATCTCCATGACAACTGTGGGGTAAGTACACTATTACTTAAAAAAAACCCAATCCATTCTCACATTCATACTTCTGGTATCAGCCGTCTGGAAAATTTGCGCAATTATTCCCCTTGCAAATTGAGTTTTTTTCACTGGAGGGTGAGCGCGAAACAATTTAATCTTTGCAACTTCATCGCAAGAGTCATGATGGACAATCGTTGCAACTCATCGTTCCATTGTGAAATAGAGAAAAAAGACAAAGTGTTACAGTGGTTGATGTGTGCGCCTTTCACTTCTGTGACTTGGGTTCAATTCCTGCAAGATGCAGTTGTCTCAGTATTATTTCTCTTCATCGTATGTGAGGGCAATACTTCCAGTTTGACTCTACCAAGCACTGCAGGTTTTCGCAGGGTATTCCTGTTGTAAAACTAGACAAAAAGTGATAGACTTTATCTGACCTCCAGCGGGAATAGTTTGGTACTTTTAGTGCATGGACCCATGGTCCTGACTGGACGTCTAAGGAGAACAGTTTGGAACTGATTAAGCAGAATATTTTTCGAAAGTCATGATTAGCGTATTACTTACAATGTCTTATTTGTCGTAGATATGGCGACACTACAGCGAAATCAATTCCTGCCAGGATATTTGCTGTAATCTGGATATTAACTGGTCTCTGTCTGTATTCAATTCTTATTGGTGATTTATCGTCTGCTTTGTCTGCCACTGTTTCCGTCTCAAAAACTGTTCTGTATGGAGCAAAGGTACTGAAATAGAACTTACTTTATTTATACTGAGTAGCTCTACAAGATCTAAACTGTTCTCCCAATACAAGCCCGCTCAAGGTTAACCTTGCTGTTTTCAGTGTTACTGCAGTAACACTGCCGAGACCCAAACTAAACTGACTTTATTTATACTGGAAAGCTCTGTCAGTGCTAAACCTTTATCAGAAGCCAGGTCGCGGAGATGAAAGAAAGATGCACTAACCAATTACGTGAACTTTCTTTTTAGGTCGCTGTTTTGATTAATTCTACAGAAGAGTCGGTTGCTATACAGCAAGATGCGAAAATAGTTGGAGGTATGAATTCTATATTGTACGATAAAGCAGGGATGAGTGGGGTGTACCATAATTAACCATAGTTAATAGAAATAATGGCTAAGCTGAATTACGAAGGAAGCAGCTCAACCTGATCGAGTCGAAGGATCTCTAGATCTCGCCTCTGGCAGCCACCTTATGTCTTGTCACGGAGCACAGTTACGATGGGGCTATAGGGGCTAATTATCCCAACCCAGAAACTGGAGCAACCGGAGAAAACCCGTGAGTTTCGGTAGAGCGTTGACTCTTATCATGTTTAAGAGAAAGCCTTGTAAGACTTAGTGAACTTAATAGACGCCATAATTTACGAAATCAGGAAACGGATCTAGCACTTCCAAAACCAAAAACTAATTTTTTGAAGAGAAGCTTTAAATATAGTGCATCAATGCTGTGGAATAATCTTCCATTAGATGCAAAAAGAGCGACTTCGCTCAGTCAATTTAAGCATAGTATTGCGGAACTGTCCTTTTAGAACCATGTTGACTTAATTATAGTTAACTCTCTTTATTTACTTGACTTGACTTTATTTTTCTCAATTTGTTGTTGGGGGGAGGTTGGGGGGGGTTCATATAATATTCCATATATTCTACTGTTTTATATATCACGCCCCTCCTGTAAATCAGCTTTTAGTTGTGCGAGGCTAGCGTGTTTTTGATTTTAAATAAAAATTGATTGATTGATTGAAGTGTCATGAGTACATGAGTGTCATGGGTCCGCAGCAAGAATCGAGCCCACGATCTCAGGGAAAAGGAAAAGGTTAAAAATTGCAACTGGCCTTGACCAAAAAATGTTGGCTAACAATCTAATGTGGCAACATCCTTTATTCCAGGTCCGTATTACACACTGGATGAAATTCAAAAAGCTCTGCTCAGTGGCAAGGTTGACGCAGCTATCATTGATATTTACGCAGCCGGACTCACAAAGAAACTGTGGAACCACACTGATCTACGTATGTCACAAATGCTGGACTATTCTGCTCCCTATGGTATCGTAATTTCAGGCGGAACTGATGGTATACAGCGATGTTTTGAAAACTATGTTAAAAATAATCGAATCAAAACTCTAGAGCTCGTGATTAACTATACGACAACTTTAAAGGTGTGTTGGTTTATATCCACAAACTAAGGCTGCGTTGACACTATACCTGGGGCCGGTTGTATAAAAACGTAATTAGCGCTAACTGTAGTTAGCGTTAATCACTGTAGTTAAATCCTTAACTGTAATTAGTTAATTACATGACTTAACTGCGTTGCACAAAACGTAGTTAGTCGGATAGTTAACTAACACGTAGTTAACTGTGCGTGGGGCTTGCGTAGGGTGTTTAAACAGAAAATTACATAAAGTAAGCAGCGAGTAACGACCGCTGACACACATTTTCAACACGATTGTGGACTCGTATTTTGCAAATAGGCGGGAATTTTATTCAAAACACTAGAAAACAGTGAAAACTAAACAAAAAATAAAGAAAAACCGCCACAAAAATCATAAAAGAATGCAGTTTTTCCTTGAGATGTCTACGTTAAACCAAGGTATAGCTGTTTGGCAATTATATATCAGTGTTTCTTGGTGTAATGGACCATACTTCGTCTTCGAGAAATTCTCCTGTGCAAAAATATGTTCTGTTTTCGTAAAAATACCAAAGCATAGCATTTGAAGAGTTTATATTGTCAGGAAACATTCACAGGAAAGATAGCGATTGAAAATCTCAGGTAAGCGTTGCTTTTCATTATTGTTTTACTGAAAAATGTTGTTCACTCCTATACAAACGCCATTTTTAACTACGTTTTGGACAGTTAACTATACCCTATAGCTAAAGCATAGTTAACTTTAACTACTTTTTAACTGCAGTTAAGGCTAACTACACTTTTATACAACCGGCTTAACTACGTGATTAAAGTTAACCACTCAGTTAACTATACCCTATAGCTAAAGCATAGTTAACGTTTAACTACTTTTTAACTGCAGTTAAGGCTAACTACACTTTTATACAACCGGCTGTTGGATTTTCCGGATTTGTTCGGATTTTTTCCGGATTTTTTGAAGAAGCTTACGGGATTTTTGGATTTTTAAAAATCCGCGGATTTTTTAGCGGATTTTTGAAGAGAAAATCTGTTGGATTTTCCGGATTTGTTCGGATTTTTTCCGGATTTTTTGACGAAGTGTACGGGATTTTTGGAGTGAAATGCCCCTCGCAACTTTCAGAAGTTGGATGAAACAACATCTCTCCGTTGCAATAATTCCTCTGAAAATAGCGTTCCTAAAAGGTACAGATAGATGGTTTTTTCACGTCGCTACGGAAAGCTATCCCGTGACAGTGTAAACGTAGCCTTTATCACTCAATTCTTTATTTTACAGTGTTTCTCTGACTTTATCAGACTGTGGCATGTATGAAATTATTTTCTCATTGTGTAGGTTGACCACCGTCTGTTGCAGGATAGTACTTAGTAGAGGTGTGCAAATCCGATCCGATCGGATTCGTTCGGATTTCGGAACAAAAATATACATATCAGATCGGATTGATAAAGTTGTTTCGTAGTCGGATCGGACTTCGATATTCGAAATAGATGAATTAATTATCCACGCATTATCGCAAGAATTAATTATCCATGCATTTATCAAAGCATTAACGCGGTTGTCGCTGCATTATTCGTTTAATACTTCAATTGGACGTCACTCTTTGTCAGCTTCTTGACATGTATTTCTTGCTTTTTTATTTATTTGGTTAAATATTTCAACTTGAGTGAGAAATTTATTTTATTAAAGGATTCATCCGATCGGAATTTTTTATCAAAGACAAAGCTGGGATCGGATGGTTTCCATATGGTCGTAACGGTCGTAAAAATAGACTCGCGATCTTTCTCAACGGCCAGTTTATAATAGCTTATACCTGTAAACCACATATAAATCATAAGTATTCTCTAGTTCTAATCACTCCGCGTATTTTCAGTTCTAAAATGTTGTATTTCGGCTGATGAGAAAGATCGTGACTCAATCTTTACGACCGTTACGACCATATGGAAACCACGTTTAGGAAAGACCCCAATGACCTCCATAGTTTTTTTATGGTAGCTATATTTTTATGCCACTTAATATTTCAACTCCATTACAGGGAATAAAGAACGAGGAAGCATTAGAATATGCTCAGGATTTGATTGACGGAGAATCCACAATGTTTCGTCAGACATTATTCATATTGTGTATAGGTTATGGAGTTTTATTTCTACTTGGTGTGATTTGGCACTTTACTTGTCGAACACGGCGCTCGACTAGTATGAAGAAAGGTAAATATTCACTGGCCAGGTTTCGTTTTCTCCCGGGTTTGTGTGTGTCTCTGTGTTTGTCTGTTATAACTCAAAACAAAAATCTAATGAGTAATGGTAATGGGGTAATGGTAATATTTTAGTTCAATAGTTGGACGAAAACTGAATGAGAAATTGGGCAAAATTTGACTTGCTCTAATTTTAGCCCATTGTATAATTTATGCATCATACTTAATTCGCTGGCGGAGGTTTGTGGTCTAATATTTTATTCATTTCTAAGGATCTACCATGGGTCTGAATAATAGTGTCGTTTAAGTTTGTGTGAATAAAGATTCAAACTAAATCAACTCAGGGTCGATTTTCAAGACGATTGTCAAATACGTCTTCATATAAAATTTTGTTTTTCTTTAGACAACTCCGTTCATCCTGAAAGGACGCCTGACGACGACGAAATACTAAGAGAACTAAAAACTTCTTGTCTGAGTATATCACATCGTCTTAAAACAATAAAAAGACGACATCGGGAAGAAATTCGAAGATTAGTTTTAACAAAGAGGACATAGACTCTTGGTTTGGGGACAGGCATGCAGGGAGGGGGGGAGGGGGGGCAGGTCGGTCCCATTTCCAAGCCAAATCATGTCTGAATTACCTGACCCACTGATGAAATAGATCAATCAAAAGTATGTTATCAATAAAAGTATATGTAAAATATAAAGTTTTGTTCAAAAGAGGCTAAACACGTCATTCACATTCACACATCCAACATCATTCACCATTGTTGATTCAACACTCGTGTGTGTTGGGGGTAATGTTGGCTGGTGTTGAATTGGGTTTGACTTGGTTGAAAATTTTCACCCAACATTATCCAACATATAGTTGCACGTCGAACAATTCTGGACGATGCTGGACTCGCTAACGGGGCTTACTGTTAGGGTAAAGGATAGCTAAAAGCAACTTTATGGAGCCATCCTTGAAGTTTAATTATCAAATTATCAGACAAATAAATTAATAATATAGTCATATACTGACACAATGATAGGCAGATATAATTTAGAAATTTAATTAACCCTATTAAATAAGATGGTTCTACACGTATGATAATTACATCAGTTTTCTATCAGTTTAATACAACTTCATCCTAAAGCCTGTTTTCTCCTTCAACCGTATCATAACACATTGAAGAATTTTTGTTTGTATCGAAGTTATTGATTCCACTCGCTGGAAACAGTGAAATACGCTACGTTTCGCTACGATACGTTTGAAGTGGAAAACACGAAGGCTTGATTCACTAATTTTCAGAGAACATATTAAATATTTTACTAACAAATAATTTGGTTATCTTGTACAGAAATACATTTTAAAATGTTCACATCTTAATTTGATTCTATTAAATAGCAATTCATAATATACCAGACTCCTACAGAAATGCATACATGCAACTTCTGGTTTACAGGAAAACAAAAACAAAACGACATCAGAGCGGGACGTTTCGATCATGTTGTCACTATATATTCGGCACTTACTGTACGCCGCAGTGCCACCGTAGCAAACATGTGCTGGTCTAAAACTTGACCGAACCGACAATCTCCAAGCCAGGCCGAATTCGAAACGGGAATGAATGTATTAAGTAGGGTCGAAGAAGCATTGTGTACAGCGAGGGAGTCTATCCGGCCCTGGTTTTGCTGGGGCAGTGCGCCACGCTGTTGGTGCGGCGAGGAATCGAACCTGGGACCTCTCAATCTGGCATGAAATCTAGAACGACACTCATCATAGACAATTGCAGATAAGAGTCATAAGACTATACAACATTGATTGTAAATTTCATTTTCGAAATACTCAAAAAAATTTCTGTCGCTGTTTTGTGTAAACATGATGTGAATTTCGTCCCGCTCTGATTTTATCCCGGTCTCATATACTCTCGATAAAACTGACTAAAACGTTCAAACCGTTAGCAATCTCGTCGACGTAGGATTAGTCATCCTTGGTGTCCTAACTCGTCGCCTTAAAACCCCCACAAAACGGCGTACCACATACATAATTGGACACCGACAAACATAGAGCATCATCACCATCAACACCACCATCAGTATCCAATCAGAAATAAAATCCATCCTCATTTTCTCATTTTTCCACGAGTTGAGCTCGTCCATATACAGAAATTGATTTCTTGAATTTTTTGGCAGCTCAAACTGTGACGGCGTCGGGAATACAGATTCGTAGAAATCCACCAAAATCCCCTTCACTACTGAGGCGTTGACCTTCTCGTGGTCGATATTATCATTCAAGCATATAAACTTTTTCTTGTTTTTTCTGATTCCGTCCAGTTGCTTCAGGACATGTGTAGCGTTATTTTTTATCATCTTAAAAACGATATCTTCTTCGCCGACAATTTCGTGCTTAAATTTGCTCTCTTTTTTCTTCGTGTTATTGAGCTGTTTCATGATTGGTTCGCAATGTTGGAGTAAGGTCTCAGTGATCGGAGGTAAGTCGTAGCCATATTGACGCTCGGAAGGAGGTCGAGCGCTACTCGTAGAGTTGTCAAGGATACGAGAGCAATTCCGTAGCTGTTCAAGGAATTTCTTTATCGTGTCCGATTTGAGAGGAATTTCGTTGAATTTTGTCAGAAGGGTTCGCAGTTCACGATCGGAAAGGGTTCCTAAAGAAAGCAAAATGTATATATTTCATTTTACATGCATGTGGAGTATTGGTGAAGACTGAAGGAATAGTGGTTAATAGTGTCTGTGTTTTTCTCTTCTGTAACCACGATAAAAAGTTCCTAAAACCGCTACAGTCACATGCGAGAAATATATGCTTTCAGTTGAACTTGATCAAACATCGCAGACTTTCTCCAAGCACTCCAGTTTCCTTCTGTAGTAACACTGGACCAAAAATGCATGGTCCTCACTGAACCTCCAGGGAGAGGCATGTTGCTGACAAAGTGGTGCCTTTCGCCCCTGTGATCAGGGGCCGATCAGGGTTTTATTCCCGTGTCACTCAAACAAACACTGCAAGTTTTCTCCGAGGTATTCCGGTTTCTTCCTGTAGTAACACCTGCACATGTAGGAAGAACACTTTAGATGGAACTAATAGAGCTACCTAGCCTAGTATGAAGAAAGTTATAGCATAGCAGTCGCTTTATTTTATTGAAGATTTTGAGGATTTTTGAATATATGGCGGGTTAGAAAAAATGGGCGAAGAAAAATTTTCCATCGCCCGTTTTTTCTGCCCTTTTTTTCTTTCTTTTTCTAAACTGCCATACAGTATATTCAAAAATCTTCAAAATAATAAAGCGACTACTATGCAGCCTAAGTCATAGTCTATGGTCTAGTCTTGTTTATTTCAAACAGTAGTGAAGCTAGCTATAACAACAGGTGATGGTATGCAAATTTTTAATGATTTTCATTACTAAAACCTTTAGAAATGTGTTGTCTTTAATCTATTTGGATGCAGGTTTATTAGCATAGCTTGACCAGTTACCATGACTAGCTTCCCACTGATTTCAAACATTCACAGGTTTCAGGGTTGTGAACAGAGTTTGGCTGCCTGTATTAACCTACCAGATTTATCGGCGTCGACCTCCCGAAACACTCGAGAAACATCAAACTCCTTGGTCTGATCAATAACGAAGTAGAAATACGACAATGCAAATTGCATGTCATTTTTACTCCGTAACTTGTTCGAGGAAGTTGCATCGAACTCCTTTGGAAACTTGGCCTGTAGTTCCTTCATGACATCCACGTCTACCATATGTGGCATATGAGAAGGCACTTTTCTTGCTTTGTAGCCAAACGCCCGGTTGTAGATGCGGTTCACGTGTAGTAGGGAACCAGAAAACGCATCCAAAAGGCTTCTTTGGTGAAATGTTGTTTTGTAGCGTTCTTCAAGTATTTGTTGCTCTTTGCGGTCTTGGATGCGTTTGAATATTTGCTGGCGTTCCCACGGCAGGAATCCTGTATTTTCCGTGGCTGCTTCTTCAAACTTGTTAAGATGCCGTGAGAAGTGGTTTGGGGAATCTCCAGCCTAAATGAATGGATTGGGGGATTTTATCAAGATTTATATGTGCAGTAAAAAGGCAGGGAAGGGATGTTTTGGGGTATCTGTATTCAAAATGTATCGTGAATTTGGCAAGTAAGCTTTCAAAAAGATGTTTATCCACCTCAATTTTCTGGGTGAATTTGGATTTGGACATCTGAATTTTATACATTCAATCTCGGAAGGAGGGAGGTGGAGGGAGGGAGGGTGAAGGAAGGGAGGGTGAAGGAAGAGAGGGAGGGTAAAGGGGTGAAGGAGGGGGGGTGGGGGGAAGGAGGGAGGAAAGGAGGTAGAAGGAGGGAGGGTGGATGGATGGCAGGAGGGAGAAGGAAGGAAAGGAGGAAAGATTGAAAAGAAGGGAAGGATAGATGGAAGGAAAGAAGGTAGAAATTTAAAGAAAGGAAAAGAAAGGAAGGAAACAAAGGAAAGGTAAGGAAGAAATGGAAGAGAAAAATGAAATAAAAGGATGTCCAACTTTGTTGTACCTTGTTGATATTTGGACTACTTGTTGTGATCTGACCATGACTTGGTACTAACATAGTTTTTGTCATGGACTTCATGTATGACATCTCAGCTCTGACTGTGGTGGGTTGAAAATCTGAACTACAAGTTATCCCCAATGTTTCCTTGATCAGTCTTGCTTTCTTCCTGTTGAATCCTTTCTCTGTAATATCACCAATCTTAAAATCTTCCTCAAGTTCAGTGAATTTTTTCAAAACCTCTTCGGGAACATTTACATTCCTAGGGATTTCTGGAACACAGTATTCATTTGCACCTACCGTTGGCCACGTTGATGCAGATAATTTTGCATCTGCTGCATTCCAATAATTCATATTATCACTTGCATTATAGATTCGTATAGGATATAAAGTTGTTTGGACTCTCAATTCAGAGACATTCGCTTGGATAGCCAAAACATCTTCATTAGCTTTTACAGTCATTTCAATCTTAGGTTTGGTAATAGTTTCAATGGTAAGATTAAATTTCACTTCAGTCAATTTGGTGTCGTTAGTTTTCTTCAACCCAGCCAAGCGAATGTTCACTGTGGTCAATGTCTCGTTTGGATAAAATGTGATTATCATTGCTTTAAACTTTTGAGCAATTGTTACCGAACGTAAAATGCTTGAACCGTCTTGCTCCCCTTCTGTGATTTTCCCTTCTCCATAAACCTCTGATAAATTAAAGAACGCAGCTTTAAGCCCATTCGGCAAGTGAAAAACTGTACTATTTTCACACAAGATTTCAGAATGCAGTTCAGAAAATTGTTTAACTCCACAGTCGCCGGCATCAAACCCGCATGCCGGGTGATTGCAAGCACCATCGCAATACCGATCACCAATCCAGGAATCTGCACAACCAGAGTTGCAAAAATTACGGGGTTTATTTTTCTTCATATTTGATATTACACTTTGCCAATTATTTGGAGGTTTTGTCTTGGAGTTAAGGCAATCTCCACCATCCCAATCACACTCGGAAACATTGCATGCTTTATCACAGTACTTATCATTAATCCATGTTGCTGGACAGCCTTCGTTACAGTTTGGAACAGGCCATGAGAGAAATACCTTCTGACCTTTTGCGTGGGTATAAAAATCATCGGGCCACACTTCTTCTCCGAACATGACATCATCGTTAAGATAGATAAATTTTTTCGACAATCCCGGGATTTTATGAAGATGTGACTCAATTGCAGGAGAACTGAATGTTGGAAGGTGACTTTTGTTTGCGAAAATCTCAGCATGAGTTACAATCTTAATCCGAGGATTATCTAGATTTAACCAACTGGGGATTTGCCCATTTGTAACAATAAAAATTTGTCTAACCCAAGGAGCGAACGTTTCAACTGATCTCAAAGAGTATCGTAATTCCTGGTTGTCAGCAAACCGACTTGTGGAAAAATGGTTGTCGTAGTTTTCGAGGTCGATACTTGAAAATGGTTCCCACACCATGAGGACAGGTTCAAACACAAGCGGGAGCCCCTGGAATTTAACATTGCCCTTCTTCAATTTTATAGCTTCCTGATAGCTCTGGTCATCTTTAAAAGTCAACACTGCAACTTTTTCTTTATAATAGTAGTCTAAAGCTCTTGTCTCAAAGCGGCCTTGTAGAAAACTTTTAAAGGCATTGGCTTTATCATTGGATATCTTTACAGTGGAGACCAATGCCATTGCACGCATCCGTACAGCTAGCTCTGTGGACTGACTGGTAAGGTACGCTCGCTGCGCCACCACCTTTTCACCATTTATGTTAAATGACCTATCCACAGCACGCTTGAGAGAGTTTTCATCTGGGAATTTGACCACAGTCAGTCTAGCTTTTTTGGAATCGGATTTAGAACTGGATTTCATACTTACATTATACACACTAGATGCCGCTTGGAAAACCGGATCTATCTTTTTCAAGTCTGCAACAGTTATTAGAGAATGTATTTTTAAGACTAACGTGTTCAAGGCAACACAGTTTTTATAGGGGCACCCCTCTGGTGGGGTTGCCCCCTTTTCCTTGTGGGCACCAGCTTTGTCCATAGTTAATTGTTCAGTATTATTATTTTCCGACGAAATGCTATCATTTAATCGCTGTTCCATTTCCGATTTCAACTTCGTAAGCTGTTTCAACAACCGTGGGTCTGTTCCATTCACCCATGTATAAACAACATCGATGGGCAAGGGTAGACATAATCTGTCTTGAAAAGATTTGTGTAAAATATTATCTACATATGGAAACAATGTTTTTTGATACCGTACCACACTCCATTCTAGAGCAACTTCCCCGAACTGTACGATCGAAACGAAGCCAAACAGCAGGGCAGCAAAGCAGAGCAGCATTCCATGCCTTGAGGATAAAAACGTGTATGTCTGCCTTTGTAAAAGTTTACAAAAATTATCGCACACCATTCGTTGTAGACGTCGCCAATCCATTTCTCAGCCATTCTTCTGTCAGCTTAAAACATAACAAAAGAACAAAACGAGACAAAACATCTCGATTTTGTGTACATTACACCTCGTACAAGGCATTAGAAACGAAACACGTTACCGGCATGTGACTGCTGGTGGTTGAGCAATCGTGTATAAAACAGCAGCTTTGTAAACAATGCCTAATTTTGTAAACAAAACGTTTTTCTAAATATGTGGTTTCTTCTTATCACTTTTAATTCAATTAATGATTCCTCAAAATGTAAAACATAGTCAATTTTTCAGCATTTTATTCTAAATATTATATTAATTTTTGGGTTTTTTTGAATAAATAATTTTATATACTTCCGTTCATTAAAATTCTATTAGGGGTGCGGACCATTAGATATCCTGACAGGGGGGAGGGGACATTTTCCTGCAATCGCTGTGAAAGAAGAATTTTTTTTGAAAGGCTTCAGGCTTTACCAACCTTTTTCTCTGTCTACCGGATAGAGAAGAAATGGCGGCCATGTAGCAAAGCAACTATATTGGCACGAAATTTCCGTATTCAGAGCAAGTTAGAAACCAGGGCGCACAAGATTCTCATAAGCACTAAAGCACGCCCCGTGTATGTACCAACATCCTGTAATGTCTCATGAGCATGCATGCTTATGACCAAACTGCATAATTTTCGTGTACTTATGAGCGTGCTTATGAGACACCCCATATACAGGGACATGGGCGGATGGGCCTAATCTTCTTGGG